CTCTGGCTCGATATCTTCATCAATATTGGATAAAGAAGAACTGATACAATTACTTTTTAAATCTAGTTGATTGATTCCAAAATAATTGTTTCTTGGAATAATTGATACTTGATTAACAGTGTTTATATCTTCAGATAGGTCTAAGTGTATCTTGCAATTGATTTCAGTCATTGAATTTGTTCGTATATTGAAATAGTCACATTTGAAATGTTCCAGTGAATAGCAAGGCTTCATTTCTGTTAAAAAACCTCTTATTGGATTATATAGTGGCTTTACAAAAAACCATTGCTTTATATTTGTATGCATTATTAAGGTAACTGTGCTCAAATACAGAATATTATCCTTAGCTAAATTGTCAATCAATACAAAAAAAATGTAATCCTTAACTATGTGCAAATACCTCTCTCTAAAGTTTCGCTTCACTTTTAATGAAAATGAACCGTTTTTTATTATGCTTCTAGGGTGCTGATCAGTATAATGCAGTACCAACTGGTAGGCAAATCCTGAAAACTTGTATTCACATTTGGGACAATGGTAAATACCACTGACGCATTTCTTTTCATGTTCCACAACTTCAGAAACGGCTAAGAATTTGCTGCACCTCTCGTGTCTATTTACGCATTTGAAGAGGCAATTCCGTGCCACCTTGTTATACACAGACACTGTCCCACCATCGTTATCTGTGCAACAACGGCCACATTTAATGACGCGGTTGGGATACACTTTTACTGGTAATACGGATAAATATTTATCACATTCCGAACACCTCAGATTTTTTAACATCAAGTCATTTAATATAGACATCATTTTAATTGTGAATATACTTGATAACCACCTGATGCTGCAATGCGTAATGCGTATAACATTCAGTCAAATCTGAATTGGTACTTGTATTGGTCAGTTGTTACTTATCGGCGAGTTCGGATAAAATATATTACTGTATAAGGTAATTAAACTCATACCCTTGATAAGAGAAGAATAATTCAACAATATTGACTAGGATATTGACTACGTATCAAGATTCGAGAACTTTTAGGGGATTCACCTTCACCACGACACAAACACATCTGACATAGAAAATATAGTACTAACGTAGAATGAAATGTCCCTAATATTGCCACTAAACTGCGAAACAGCGCCACATAACGTTTTGGAAGCTTACTACTACTTAGCTCCTAATGAGTAGGCAACACTTTATACTTTGTGAACTGATTACAGCGCCATCTATCGTATGGAAACGACTTCGCACTTATATCCTCTATATTATATTATTTTAAAAGTAAACCCTTATACAAATAGGAATAGTCAAGTGTCAATACTTTTGAGAACAGATTATTTAGTTAAACAGAAAATGTAGCGAAAAACTAATATTCAGTACTTTTCTAATTCACTTCTGCTTTGATAACGAAACTAGAGGTTTCAGAAACGTCATAGTGTTATTGTGATGTGTATTTGTTTTTCCAGTGCGTAACCAGACTTATACATGTAGATGTATGTCTCTGGCATCTCACTATTAGGCAAAAGTTTTCAGTATTGACACTTGACTGTCCCTATCGGTACAAGGGTTTATTTTTCCAGTTTTTTTTTCTTCAAACTATGGCAAAATATCCAAATTATAACATTTATAATGCCACAAATAAATACAGACAATTTCTTATTTATTATTTTATTATATTATAGTATTTTTCAAATTTTGACATTTGCCAAGATATACTTAGTAAATGGTTTCGATAAGGAAATAAAACATTTTTTAATAATTTTAAGTTTATTTTGTATCTACAAGAAATCCTAATTGATTTATACAGAATGTTGTTATGCATGTACTATTAAAACAATTTCTTGTTATGTATTTAATTGTAAGTAAAAACGACAACAATTTAATTCATTTGCTTCATAAACTTGATAAGTTGGCAAGTAAGCTGTAAAAATATAAAAATTATGCATGAACTGTTATAATAATCTCACTTTCCGGAGNTCCATCAAAGTAGAGCGTAATGCGAAACAGCGCTAAACGAGGCTATCTTAACATGTAAATAATGGGGTTAGGGGAAGATGGATAGAAAATTGGTTAGGTATTAAATTTAATAATTATGTTTTTTTTAATAAAAATAAAACCAAACATTTATTTCTTACAAAAATAAAAACAATATAAACGAATATTACTTATAAAAACAAATAAAATTCTAAGTCAGTCAGATCATTCAGTCTATTGTGTTTCCAATTTTCTGCCTTTTTGTCGAGAAGGCATCTAATGTAGTTTGCGTTTTGCTTTTGCGTTCTGTTAGAAGTTGTTGATAAGTGGATAAAGCATATATAACACCCCGTCTTGCTTTTGAACTCCTGTCAAAATTTTGATCATTTTCAACAAATTGGTCCATAATTTCAGTTATAGTTATATCAACTGATGAAAATGCGTCCGTACAGCACCGCACCAAACAAGAAACACAACTACACTGTTTCGGATAAGTTATGTACATATGTATTTGGAAACCTAGCGCTGTGCACAATTTCGGGGAATCCCCGTAGTGCGGCGAGTAATTTCGGGAAATCCCCGGGTTGAAATAAAAGAGCGCTAAACCGAAACAGCGCTAAACGCAACAGCGTTAAGCGGGGTCTTACTGTACTATGAAAACAATTTTTTGTTATGTATTTAATTGTAAGTAAAAATGACAACAATTTAATTCATTTGCTTCATAAACTTGATAAGTTGGCAAGTAAGCTGTAAAAATATAAANGTAAAGATATAGGTTTCGTTTTTAATAAAACTATATAACTTAAAACTTACACATCGTATTCCCAGTATAATATAATAACAAATAGAAAACTCTCTTAAGCACTAAATAATTATAAACACAATTCTTGCAATACTAATGTCCCAAATGAATATAGCTTAATAAATACGAGTGAAGTAAGCAAATAACCAATTTTATTTTATACTGAGTTTAGTAGATTATGGCTATGTTCCGTAATCTGCTAATTTTACTATCAGCGCTATTGCAGAAACTGCAATATCAAGCCGTTACGAAAATGAAATTTCCAATTTTTGCGTCAAATAACGGAACAAACTGAACAAAGTTTAGCACGTTAACTATTATAGCAACTGTGGTCTTCTATCAAGAGTTTACCAAATAATTTGAATTGTGAGGTTATATAGTAATTACATTTATTTTGTCGACTTTTTTTATCTTCTTTTTTATAATGGGAACTGCAACTGTGGATAGCGCTATTTTGTAAATCGTTTATAGATATAGATTCTACAGATGATAGTGAAGATGATGAAGACATTTTTTATGTGATAGAATAAACTAATTGTAAATATTCAAGAACAAGAATTCAAAATTACATGGAAAATGTAGTACATCTTTATTATGTCGTCGATTATGCGTAATATAGCCATTTTGATTGAACCTTCGTCGAATGTGTAGTTTGGTTTTGTTTGCAAACAGACATCAGACATCATACTGTCATTCCTCCACCAATCTNTATCTACTAAATCCTATAGTCTACATTATTTTTCACATAATAATTCACTTGACATGAGAGAATAAAACTGTTTTTATTTTACTAAACAAAATCGAGCAGCTGATGGAAATAACGAGCCAATAAAATATATCATAATCATCTGATGTCACCGCTCTCGCTACTGCAGGTGGCTCAGCCGCATGAATGGGCAGAACGGGTCATCATAATGATTGATCTAGATGACCCGGGTCACTAAAATACACGAGTCTTCCCATCACTACATACGGGTCTCGGGAGCGGCGGCGTACTCCGTAAACCTCTGCGATCAATTTCATTACATAGTGCCACAGCACGGCCATACGAGATTAGCTGAGGTCCGCGACCCGAGTGATCCGACAGAACTTATATCGGGATTCGGGTCTGTTAGATCATCGTAAAGATCCGAATCTTTGATCCGGGTCAGACCCGACCCGCCCATCACTATTTAGCAGTCGATGTTATGTAGAAATAGTAGTATTTTGACGTTTATTCCGCTGATGCAGTCTGCTGTAAAGCTTGCGAAATTTATTTTCGGAATGTAAAATCGTGCCGACAGTACTTTCAGCTAATTTCGGAACATAGCCACCATGTGTTATGTGTACACTGTACACTGCTGTAAACAGGGAGAAGTTATGGGATGGGTATTATTTCCCTGACTGTGAAAGTGTGAACCGATCCAGAGGAACCAGTGACTTCTTATCGTAGTAACCCTATAATAGATAAGAAAGGGGAACATCGTTCTACAAGCGGTTTTCATTCATAAATTAACTAGCTCTTCCTATTGATTATCTATGATGTAATAATATAAGTATTATTTTTCTAATCTGTGAATATAAGAAATGATAATGTATAAATTTGAAATATTTATACTAGGTATCATGGTCTAGTCTCCCTGCTAGGTATCATGGAGAGTATCCCTGATAGGTATGATGAAAAAAATGTGGGTTACCAGATATATTCTACTCTGTATGTTTGGTTGCGAGCAATAAGGGAAAAGACATTTTTTGTAGAGAAGTTAATCATCTAATAAAGGCTCTGCTTTTAGTAACATTTAATATTATTTAATGTTATATGTTATATCATAGTAGGTATAGGTTATATAGTTTGCATTCTACAGCAGAATTTACCAATTATGCTGTTGTGCGTACTTTAGACACAATACACGTAACTGTATGAAAATAGTAAATACATTTTTAAGATAATTTTTACTTATATTTTATTCAAATATTTAATATAGAAAAATCCCACATATTGGAATGGAGGAGTGAAAGTCATCTCTAAGATCGAGTTTTCTATTTTCGTATAATTATTTTTCACTAAATTACACAGCTTTCCCACATAACAGGTAAATCAATAACGTTACCTTCTCTCTATTTATATAGGATTTGAAACACATTAAAACAGTATAAGTATTTAAAAATTAATGACAACGTAAATTTCCACTCATTTCCACATATGCTATAAAAAAGATCAAAAAACACAAATAAGTCTATCACAAAACACTAAACTATGCAACGGACCAGTTTTATTAAAAAACGCTATAGCTATATACCATTTCGCAATAGGATATATTGATCTTATAAAATATGGCATTTATTTTTTAATTTCGACATCCTCCTCTTTTGTTCTCCTGCTTTAAACGATCCCGTCTTCGTGATAGGAATTTCCCTTACATATTCAACCTGCTTTCCTTCCTCAATTTTGGGAGCAATTAATGTTAAAACTCCGTCAGAGGAGAGTTGAGATTGAAGTCTGCTACCATCACAGTTTTCTGGGAGAATAAATTTCCTCAAGAAGTGCCTAGATATGGAACCATGTTCGTCCAATTTTTCTTCATGTTTTCCTTCTATGATAACGCTCTTGTTGTGATCTACTATTTTTACTGAAATTTCCTCGGGTTTGAACTGTTGGACATCGATGTGAACTTGGAATTGCCCTTCGTCCTCTCCGCCAAATCCTCTAAGATCCTTCACAGAAGTATTTAACGTGTTTATTGGCCAATATCCATCAACGCAGTCTTCGAGAGGATCCTTATAAAATCCTGGTGGAGGATCGAAGTAGGGATTACATGTGTAAGCATCATATGGCCATGTATAAAGAGACATTCTACGACCGAACCAACGTGTAACATTAATCGAAGGATTCTCCAATTCCACCCTCACATCTCGCATTCGTCTAAATTTTAAAATGCGCGTAGGCAATAGTGCGCATGTAGAAGTCTTATTTACATTCCTCAAAAAATCCTAGATGGCTCTCGAATGTTCACTGGAGACACAGTATACTAATCAATCAGTAGGGAAAGTTACGTTTCCCGCGTTTTCCATATTTGCACCATTTTGTTAGCGACTGACAGTTATTACGATTTCCGTTCTCATATTTTCATTCATAAATCTAGTATGTTTTCATTATTGTAGTTATATGTAACTAACCTCACTTAAACCTTCTTATATCAGCTTTATGCATTAAAAACCTTATTTTATGATGTTGAGTAGTTGTTCAGTTTAGTTATCTTGTTCTTGTGTATTTTATTAGTGATTATTTATTTATAAGTAATAGTATACCCAGTAAATAGTTAATAATGAAATAATGAAATAAAAAGTATAGTAAACTTACATTTTCAAATGTGTTTAGAAAATAAATACGCTTTCGTAAGTTTTTGAACAAAATTTATAAGATTCAGACCGATATAATCTAATCTAAATTATTTCTCCTGGAATTCAAATAACTAAACCTGTATTTAACCAAAAAATGTAAACTTCTCTTAATTAAAAAAAAACTCAATTTACGTGTAACACTACTACATAGCTAACAATCTCTTTATTACCTAGGATTATAATAATTAATCAGAAATTAATGTATAGTAATTAAAAGTATTAAAACCAGGAAAAAGAACAGGTTATGTTTACTATACTACTAGAGGTAGCATGCCATTGCGAAAAGTGTGGCTGAGAGACAGACAGTATCTCATACATGCTGTCTCACTCTATCACGCCGCGATTGGTTGGAGCATTCATTTCCAACCAATCGTGACGTGGTAGAGTGAGACAGCATGCACTGAGGTACTGTCTGTTTCTCTCGCACACTCAGCCACAATTTTCGCAATGGCATGCCTCCAGTAGTAGATGCTCGAAGGATCCTCCATATTCTTAGCGACTTTTCCTAGGGTGGGGGTATTTAAAAATTGCCATACGGAATTCATTCATAAATCATTTAAGATTCCCTACTGATTGATTAGTATACTGTGACTGGGGATGACTAGGGATTAGCACGAATTTCTAGATGGCACGAATTACCGCTCAGCAACGAAAATATTTTTTTCAATATTAGTACCTACCTATAGCCTATAGTATAGCATTTCGACTTTTTTTTACCATATTTTTATTAATAATTTTAATTTAATTATTTGAATTAAAAAAAATGCGTTATATTAGAAAATTTGGTTTAGATATTGTTATCGAATAGAGGTACTGTCACATTATTTTAAATACATTTCTGTATTAAAACAAATATATAATATATGATGTACATATTTATATTTATTATGATATGGTTTATTCGAAATTCTGAAAATTTGACTAGGTAACAGAATAATTAATTACATATATGCGAAAAAGTTGCATATGAGCGAATGCCTTAAAATACTTCGTTTTCAAGTCACATTATGTTTAGAAAAGAACATCATATTTTCTGAAATTTTCCTGAGGATGTTTGAAAAAAATTTGGACAATAATTTAATACCATGCAATTGGCGGTAAAATATGTAGCTTACTTACAAGTACTGGTGGCGCAGATATACGAATGTGGTTGTAGGTACCTCTATAAGACATCAATATTTTGACGCAGTAACTATTTTGGAAAATCGATTAGAGCTCTTAATTGAGAACAGTATTTCTAAGAAAAATGATCTCTTCCATTCGTTTTTCTACTCGTTTTAGAAAGTTATGAATTTTTTAATATACAAATTTAACTTTTAAACTATTCGTTTTATAAAAAAATATATGTAAAATTGTTTATAGAAATAACTAGAATTATCAAAATTTAAAAAACATTGCCGTAGAAGTTTTGAATTTATTCAAAAAACCATAAAGTCAAGATTTCTAATAAAGATCTATAAAAATTTTTACCTACGACCACTACTGTAAATACTTAAAAACACACCGTCTGCGATCAATGTAAAATTCCTATTTTACGTACGGTAAAAAAATCGCACAGCTTGGTAAAAAAATCGTACAGTTTTCCTAGCAACAATACTGTATGTATTGACCGTTGCTAGGAAAACTGTACAATTTTTTTACCGTACGTAATAGGAATCTTACATTGATCGCAGACGGTGTGTTTTTAAGTATTTACAGCAATGGTCGTAGGTAATGTATAGTACGTGTAATACGTGGTGTAATGTAATTACGCACTTATAGAATTTTTCCACATCGTGCGTAATAGTATATTACGTAATAAGTGTTGTAAAAAGCATTTTACGCACGAATGGAAAAGTTACGCACGACGCCGCGTAGCGGCGATTGCGTAATTCTATGAGTGCGTAATTCTATGAGTGCGTAATTGCATTACACCACGTATTATGTACTATACTTTACCTACGACCACTACTGTAAATACTTAAAAACACACCGTCTACGATCAATGTAAGATTCCTATTTTACTTACGGTAAAAAAATCGCACAGCTTGGTAAAAAAATCGTCCAGTTTTCCTACCAACCGCCTAGCAACGGTCGATACAAACAGTATTGTATTGACCGTCGCTAGGCGGTTGCTAGGAAAACTGTGCGATTTTTTTACCGCACGGAATAGGAATCTTACATTGATCGCAGACGGTGTGTTTTTAAGTATTTACAGTAGTGGTCGTAGGTAAAATGCTTTTTACAACACTTATTACGTAATATACTATTACATCGCACTGTTAAATTGTTTCAGAATAAAAAAAATAATAATTCAAGATTCGATAATTAAATGCACTTTTTACAATTCCCAAAATATTCAATTGTCGAAATGATAGAGTTTTTAGTAAGAATCGCCACACACCTCTCTCATCTATCCAAGTTGCGTCAATTTTCGTCACAGACACAAACATTTCAATAAATTATTTCTTTTTAATTCCAGTCCCGTGTATCTAGGTATTCTGTACTCCTCAAGTTAATATTAAACTTTTTCTAATTAAAATTTGGACTACCTACCTACTAACCTACTCCATTTGTATGTAGGTAACTAACTCCATGTGCAAAATATTAAATTTTAACAAATAAATGAAATTATTCAAGCATAGGTACTATACTTTTCGGCATTCATACATAAGTGTTATTATTTTTTTAAATTTCATTTTATTATATATTTTGACACACAATATACCTACATACAGATATATCACAGTCATTCATTTTTCGTTAGCAAATAAGGGTGTTCTGGGTGTTTACTAGATATAACAGGACGTATAAATTAAAATGCCAGATTATCTCTCAATGCACATTTAATCAAGAAAATACAAAATTATACAAAATAAACTAGCCTAAACTTAAAACTAAATAGTGACTGTGACAGAACTTAATTTATTAAAATCAGAATTATTTGCTACATCATATCATTAGAAATGGCAACATATCAAGCAAATAACATAAATTACTGTTTCGCTTCTTCTTGGGCATCCTTTTGCTCCACCTTCTTCATGGGCTGACCTGTTCTGGTTATCGGAATCTCTCGGTACTCAATCTTCTTTTCTTCGTCTATTTTTGGTGCTGTAATAGTCAGAACCCCATCCGAAGACAACTTAGATTGAACCTGTTTCATATTGCAATTCTCTGGAAGAACATATTTCCTAACGAAGTGTCTTGAAATGTACCCATGCTCGTCTGGTTTCTCCTCGTGCTTGCCCTCTATGGTAACAGTGTTGTCGCCCGTCACTTTGACAGAAATTTCCTCTGGTTTGAACTGTTGCACGTCGATGTTGGCTTGGAATTTGTCTTTATCTGAATTTACATCAACCCCGGTAATCTGTAGTACATTCCTCAAATTAGCCAGCTCCTCCAGAGGATACCGAAGTATTTCTCTCGGCAGATATGTGTTGAGGTATTCTTCAGGGTCTCGGAACAGACTTAATTGGCATCTTCTTGATGGGCGGGACAAGAAAACATCATCAAACCACGGAATAATGGACATTTTGTTCGAGTTTAAACAATTAAAAATTCTCGTTATTCAAATATATGCTGGAACAAATATTTCAGATCCGAAATCGAAACTGACGCGCGGCTGAGCTTCTAGGTCTATTATATATTTTGTGGCTGCTAGTGCGATAATTTTATAATACTTTCGAAAATCCAGATGTCTCTAGATTTTGCTTTTAGGCAATAGAAGTTTATGTTCTAGAAAGGGACAGTGACATACGGAATATCGATCCATTCAGATATCGTTCATTAGATATTGCAACTTTCAGCGAATTACTTCGGTTCCATTACAGATCGAGGAATGATTCTTTCTAGGATGATTAAAAAGAGTTAGCTATAATTATCCCACTGAATATTGTTCTTGTTTAATTTAAGATAAGCCTATAAGCCTGATAAGAGAGATATGAAAGTGAATAGGAAAAGAATTCCTGGGCGCTGTTATTTACATACCCATGGTATACGTCGGTATGTTGTTTCGAGTTCCTCATTTAAAATGAAGTTAAAATGAAGTTTTTATTCATTTAATTATCTGAGCCTAGGCTTGCCAGATCTCCGGGTTTCGATAGTACATTTTCGGGCTCCGGGTTAACATGTCATTTCTCCGGGTTTTATTTGTTGCGGGAAAATCGTGAGATTTTTTCGACATTTTCTGTTTTTTTTAGACATCAATTATACAACGTCCTACCCCCGAATTCCATTTCCCCGGGTCACAAAGTATATATTTCCAGATTGTGTCCTTTTTTTTTAGACATCGATTTGTCCGATTGCAAATGCAGAACCTTTTTTTTTTAGGCGTCAATTATATAAACGGGTCATGTCTCCGGGTTTGTCATGAAATAGATCTGGTAACCTATCTGAGCCTAAACACCATTGAAAATTAATTCTGTTTATAATTATTATTTTATATAAAATAGATATTGAAATACAATTCTATTGACTGTATAGAATAGTGGATTTATCATCAATTTATTCTGAAAACTTTATTCATTCAGTAAGCATTGCAGTTACTGGATATTGAATATTTTTAACGTGCCTGCAGCGAAATTTCCATTTTTTAAATAAATTACCAATTATATAGTAAAACATAAATTTAGATTAATAATTTGTTTTTAAATATGTTGATAATACTTACTAGGTATAGGTTTAAAAATATTTATTGCTAACTAAGAATGTAAAAAATTATCCGTCACATTTCATGCAAAATTTATATAATATAATTCATTTTAACAAAATATACATCACACTTTGTTAAAAACAAAAATATACATATTATTGAATCATTAAGAATGAATCAGTTTTATGGCTTTTTAATTATTTTTTTGTATATTACAAATCTGCAATATCCCATGAACGGTAAACTAGAACATCTAGAAATAACGTCCCGAAACTTCAGTGTTCCGTGATAATCCAGAGCCATCTACAACATTCTGTTGCACTATATAAAAGCTGCAGATCTGTTTCCGTAGCTGCCAGTTGAAACTTGAAATTGAAGTCGATTAAATAGTAATCGTTACGAGTTATTTACAAGAGTGTAAGTGAAGCGTCGAATATTAAAAATGTCTTTACTTCCGTGGTTCGAAGATTCGCCATTGTACCGCCCAAGATACCAAGTATCGACATGGAGAGATCCTGAAGACTATTTGACGAGGAGCTTGTTAAGATATCCCTTGGAGGAAATCAGAAATTTGAGCTCGTTGCTCCAGGACACCGGAGTTTCCGTTTCATCGGACAAAGATAAGTTCCAGGCTAACGTCGATGTGGCGCAGTTCAAACCAGAGGAAATCTCTGTGAAAATAACGGGCGATAACGTCGTGACCGTGGAGGGAAAACACGAGGAGAAGGAGGACGAGCATGGGTACATCTCCAGACATTTTGTAAGAAGATATGTCCTTCCGGAGAACTGTAATATCAAAGAAGTCAAATCTAAGCTGTCCTCCGATGGAGTCTTGACCATCACGGCTCCTAAAGTGAGTGAAGAGAAGGCCATTGAGCATAGGGAAATTCCTATTACGAAAACGGGCCAGCCGGTAAAGAGAGTAGAACAAAAACCTTCAGAAGAATCGAAGAAATGAAGTACCTACAATTACTGAAGAAGTAAAGTACAATTACGTACATATTCAATGTATTAAAATGTTTTTCTTACATTATTGCTTGTTTTGTTATGTTGGACTGATTTGTTAATAAGGTCAATTTAGTTTGTTTTTGTAGATTTTTGAAATACTTTTGTATTGTACCTACCTACATTTTCATGTTTCTGAAATGAATATACTTGTCCAACTAAACATTTTTTTTTATAAAGAAAATGAGAAATTTAAAATTTGTAAAAATTTAGAAAGATTGTGTACTTAGGTACATTCAATTAATATGGTATGAAGATATTTTAAAATATTTTTAAAAATACAATTCAGCCAGAATTTTTTGTAGTAGGAAGGCAAGAACTAATCTTGATTGTTTTTCTACTCATAGAAAAAGAATAGTGGAGAAACTAACGTAAAATATACTATTGCCATACTTTCCTATTTTCTGTTAGGTTTATCGATTTTCTTAAAGGTGGGGCTATCTAGTTTCGTCATTTGATAGTAGAGGTAATTGATTTATTTTACATCTAAGTAAGTACATTGTTCAAAATGATCTTTATATATTTTGTGACGGTATTCTGCTAAACCAAATTAGTTACATAATGTAGTTACACTGAATAACTAAAGAAAATAATAATCTGTAAAAACCCGAATTTGTTCTAGAAAATACAGGAAATTTATAATAGATTATCTTTAGCTTAATTAGCTGTAGATTGAATTAAATTGGTAACCTTATTATATACAGGGTGGTCCGAATTTTATGCAGGGAACTTCGAGGGCAGATAATAATCTGTAAAAACCCGAATTTGTTCTAGAAAATACAGGAAATTTATAATAGATTATCTTTTGCTTAATTAGCTGTAGATTGAATTAAATTGGTAACCTTATTATATACAGGGTGGTCCGAATTTTATGCAGGGAACTTCGAGGGCAGATAGATCTCTTTAAAATAGTGGGTGTTTGCCTTATAAACATGGGTCCGGAACGGCCTCGTTTTAAAGATACAGGGTGTTGAAGTTGTTAAAAAAAATTGATTATTTGTTTATTTCTCCGGAATCCATCAACCGATTTCAATATAATTTAGTACAGATAATGTGTGATAGTAGGCCTTGTATTCCCTAAAATATGAGCTCTAAAGGTCCAACCAGTGGTGTACAACTGGACAGGGTCGCCCCTTTTTTATAAAAAAAACCTACGCCACTGTATTTTTTACAAGCTATTGTACCGAATTTATATTCTAATACATAAAATACGTAAAAAAGGTAACTTGAATTTTTTCCCTAAAGTTCACCGTTCTCAAGTTATTCATACCAATACAATCCTCTTGCGGCAGACACTTCTAACCATATTACAAATTACAATATTTATGTTTATGCTTAAAAGTAAGTGCAATTTGTAAGCACATCAACAAAATTCTTTACACTTATCGCTTTCATATTTTTGGATTAAAACAATATTTGGAAAATCACGACAAAGGAATGAAAGGCACAGAAATGAAATTTTAAAAGCATTTGACGACGATCCTCGGCTAAGTACACGAAGAACGTCTCGGCAACTTGGGGTGAGTAAATTGAAAATTTGAAAAGTTCTACGTAAGGATGGCAGAAATCCGTACCATTTACAACCTGTGCAAAATTTACTTCCGGGAGATGCAGAGAGACGCCTGAATTTTTATCAGTGGTTGTTTGAATTCTTACTAGAAATACTTTGGACCGATGAGGCTACGTTCACAAGGCGAGGGGTAGTGAATTTTCACAATCTGGATATTTGGTCACAAGAAAATCCTCATGAAATTCGGAGTCATTTCTAAACTTTCTAGAAAACCATCTATTTGAATTATTAGAGGATGTTCCATTAAATATACGACAAAATAGCTGGATACAAATGGATGGTGCTCCTGCGCATTTTAGGAGAATAATACAAGAATGGCTTAATGAAAATTATATGAGATGATGGATAGGTAGAAGACCAAATGCCAATGTCAACCATAATGGTGCAGAGGGTCCAGTGTCTTGGCCAGCCAGATCGCCAGATCTAAACTCCCTGGACTTCTATGTTTGGGGTGACCTACCTGAAAAGTTTACTCTACTCCAATAGATACTAGACCACAACTACTGCAGCGAATAGAAGACGGGTGTAATGAATTAAAAGAAAACCACCACATGATATTAGCTTCAATTAGTTCCATTAATAGAAGATGTCAGAAATGTATCGATGTGGGTGGTTCGCATTTTAAACAATTGCTGTAAATACGTAACGTTAATTTTGTTTCTTGTTTAGTTGTTGTTGCTTGGTAAATGTATTTTTATTATTATTTTGATTTAAATTGTTCTTATTTGTAAAGATAATGCCTCCAGGGAAAACTAAAACACACCAGGAACACTACCTCACAAGTGATGTGGAAAGAATTTTGTTGATGTGCTTACAAATTGCACTTACTTTTAAGCATAAACATAAATATTTTTGTAATATTATGATTTGAAGTGTCTGCCACAAGGGGATTGTATTTGTATGAATAACTTGAAAATGGTGAACCTTAGGGAAAAAATTCAAGTCACCTTTTTTACGTATTTAGTGCATTAGAATATAAATCCGTTACAATAACTTGTAAAAAATACAGTGGCGTAGGTTTTTTTTATAAAAAGGGGGTGACCCCTGTCCAGTTGTACACCACTGGTTAAACCTTTAGAGCTCATATTTTAGGGAATGCAAGGCCTACTATCGTACATTATTTGTACCAAATTTTATTGAGATCGGTTAATACATTCCTGAGATATAAACAAAAAATATATATTTTTTAACAACTTCAACACCCTGTATCTCTAAAACGAGGCCGTTCCAGACCTATGTTTATAAGGCAAACTCCTATTATTTTAAAGAGATCTATCTGTCCTCGAAATTTCCTGCATAAAATTCGGACCACCCTGTATATATATATATATACCTACAAGGAAAATCATAGAACTCTTCAGGTCAATGAAAAATAAATTTTAAATTTTTTAACTGTTGCTACGTTACAACGTAAACAACAATGTCGGCTTTGTATACGACATACGAGTTTGTTTTGTTTACATATTTCATTGAAAATTGGAAGTTTCCGGTTAAAATTCTAGATGGTACTGGTTACCACCACTAAGCCTGTATTAATGTCTATCATACTCGTTCATCGGATGTTAACAATTCTTAAGAATAATTGGGCAGGATATTATTTTTCAGAATTTGACTAGATTTTGAAATATGTAGTGATAAAATTGCCGTCGTACAATATATGTATAAAAAAATGATGAAATGAATATGACTAATATATTATCAACTATTAATAACGCAAAAATCTAAAAATAAATATTAAGAAGGGAATCACTAAATATCCTGATAAATATAAGTCTTTATAGTCCGTACGATATTTGTTAAGATAGAATCCCAAGAAGACTCCTGTTTTACTTTTTTGGAATTAGCCACATTCGACACTCGAGGTAGAAAAGACATTGGCGGTGTGGTGTTTATCGTTCATCTGATTGAAATAATATAGGCTCAAGTTAAAAACGACTTGGCAAAGAAAAGTGTTTTATTTGAATTGTCAACAAATATTGTATGGACTGTAGGTATATTCTTATCTGGCAAAAAGTGGAGATGGCAGGTCGACGGAAGATGCAATAACTTGATTGATATCTCTAATATTAAAACTGTTGACAAAAATAAACCAGCATTATGTATTTTCTTCAACTGCTTTATAAATATTCAAATGTGGTAAATGTACTTGGAATAAAAAAAATAATTTCTAAAGATATGTATTCTTTAGTCTCCCATCATAGGTTAATATAATTGTATTTAAATTCAATGAATTTTTACCTTTATCTAGTTATGTGCAGTCCCAAATTCCCCACGGATACTTTTTACAAAAACTTTGACCTGTATCGCAGAACTGAGGCATTTTCGGACCTAGGTTTATGTGAACTTTTTTCTTATTTTGATGAGCACTACGTATTTTTTTTACTCTTACTCTAACAAAATTTGGTCATAGATTTTTAAGACAAATTTAGGGGACCCGCATTTTTTCTTTTTGCCAACTGGCCCCCTCTTTCGGAGTTACAACCCCCTGAAATCTGCCCCTAAGAAGTCTTTTTTATATTTCAAAACCATGTATGAGAATCGCTAAATTTGGTACACAGGGGTTTTATGACATGTGGAATCTCACAGTACTACGCTTTTTGGTGAGAAACGCCCGTAAGACGCTTTTTCGTGTGCCCCCTTGTCTTTGGAACCAGAAAAATTTGGTCACAAATTTGATTTTTTTAAAATTATTAGTTAGCTAGAAAGCCATTGAATTTTAGAAACTTTTTTGTCTTGATATTTCTTTCGTAAAACGCAATGTTTCTGAGGAAAATGAGGAATCACGATACGCATTCGATCACATTTTGACATTTTTCTCGAAAACATTGCGTTTTACGAAAAAAGTATAGAGACAAAAAGTTTCCAAATTTAATGGCTTTCTAGTGGACTGGTAATTTTTAAGAAATTTAATTATGCAACCAAATTTTTTTGGCTCCAAAGACAAGAGGGTCCACGAAAAATAGTCTTAAGGGGGTTCCCTGCCAAAAAACGTAGCACCATCAGATTCCACATATCATATAACTCCTGTGTACCAAATTTAGTGATTCTTGTACAACAGGGTTCTGAGATATATAAAAAAATGATTCCTAGGGGCGGATTTCAGGGAGCTGTAACTCCGAAAGAGGGGGCCACATGGCAAAAATAAAAAATACGGGTCCCCTAAATTTGTCTTAAGAATCTGTGACCAAATTTTGTTGCATGAATTTCGGGTCACCCTGTATTAAAAATGTTTAAGAAAACTTTAATTTTTAAATTTTTTAAATAAGTAACATTTGTCTGCATAGATATTTTTCAAAGTAGCTTATACAGGGTGTTCTGAATTTGTAATAATTTATTGTCACTTTTGGACTGGCGTGGAGTCTGTAGGGCTCGCCCCGCAGAACAAAGTCCGAGAGCAAGTCAGAGTCTCAGTTAAGGCTAAGGAAGTGAAAAGTAGGTGTACTTTAAATATCATCACGGACTGTGAAATCCTTAATACCATTAATTATCCTCTTCTCATCATATATATTTTTTTAATTTTTATAATAAAAAACAAATGTTTCTTAACAAGGATATAATTTATTTTAATTTTAACAAAGGTCTCTTACATTCTACAAAAATATAGAGTGAGTAGAAAAATTCCTTCAACTTGCTCCTTCGGTTTTTTTAATCTACAATAAATTTCATCATATCTCATACTCCGAACTCACTATTGTCTTCCAAAAAATATTAAATTCGAAAGATTCTCTAGCAGGGGACCCTTAATAGACAAATACACTTAAGAAATTTTATTTTTGGTACATAGGTTATTATTTTGATAGAGGTAGCAACACTTACACGAATACTAATAGTCCAGTCGACAGAGGCCGAAAAGTTACTGTTGGTGACAATAACAGGTTAATTTGCTGACAAAGTATTTTATCAGGAAAAAAAAACAATTGAATTGCGAAAATTCGCTTTTTTAGTAGTTTTCTTTAAATAACTCAGCTGGGTGACTTTTTACCAAAAAATGCTTAAGACATGTTTTGTTAGTAATAAAAATAGCTACAAAGTGGCGGTGATCCGATTACGAAATTTGCAATAACAAAGCCATGAGATTGAAAAACAGTATAAAACGTCAATTTTTTTAAGTTGCTGTAAAAATGTCAATTATAAACAAAAAGTGATAAAACTTTCAAAAACTACAGTGTAATATACAATAATGGCACTAAAGCCGAAATTCTGGAGAGCAAAACTTTTTCTTCTATAAGGTTTTTATACATCCACTGCATCTGAAACTCGAAACTTTGCCAAATTTGTTTGAACTTCCCTGACACTTGAAATTTGGTATACATATAGTGTAAACTGTAAATATGCAGAAACCAAAAGCAATTTGCACAATTCAATTATCTTCATTTTTGCAGCTTTGGTGAGGTTTTATGCGTCACCCGTTATTTTAATTTTTGGACGTATGTATATGTGTATTTATAAAATATTCCATCACGGTAGATTAGCCAGTACAATTACCGACAATTAAAAAAAAAATATTTTCATTGTTTAGATCCTAAACTACTTAACATTTTTCGTCTGTTAGCCGCACTCGTACATTATTCAAAATATCGAAATAAAACAAATACGTACGATGTACGTGTGTGATAAACCTTTAACATTAAGGAAACAGTTGTTTAAATTTACTAGTTGCATGTTTCTAATAGTATACAAGCGGCAATAAGAAACATGGAACTAGTAAATCTAAACAACTGTTTACTTAAAGTTAAAGGTTTATCACACACGTACGTATTTGTTTTATTTCGATATGTTGTATAAATTACGAGTACGGATCTAAACAATGAAAATAAATTTTTTATTTTTAATTGTCGGTAATTGTACTGGCTAATCTACTGTGATGAAATATTTTATAAATACACATATACATATGTCCAAAAATTAAAATAACGGTGACGTATAAAATTAGGGTGACGCATAAAACCTCACCAAAGCTGCAAAAATGAAGATAACTGAATTTTGCAAATTGCTTTTGGTTTCTGCATATTTACACTATGTGTACACCAAATTTCAAATGACAGCAAAGCTTCAAACAAATTTGGCAAAGTTTCGAGTTTCAGATGGTGGATGTATAAAAACCTTATAGAACAAAATGTTTTGCTTTGCTGATTTTCGGCTTTAGCGCCATTATTGTATATTATACTATAGTTTTCGAAAGTTTAATCACTTTTTGTTTATAAATGACATTTTTACAGTAACTTTGAGAAATTTACATTTTATACCATTTTTTCACTCTCACGGCTTTGTTACTGCAAATTTCGTAATCCTGCCACCGCCATTTTGTAGCTATTTTTATTACGAACAAAACATGTCTTAAGCATTTTTCCGTACAAAGTCATCTCGTTGAGTTATTTACAGAAAACTACTAAAAAAGCGAATTTTCATAATTCAATTTTTAATAACTTTTTTCTTTTTTCCTGATAAAATACTTTGTCAGCAAATTAACCTGTTATTGTACTCATCATTTAAAGTAGGCCTGTGTAGTTATTTCCGGATTATCAAGGTTTAATGCAGGCCGAACTTCTACCGACTGGACTATTATAGGAAAAGTTTGTAGAATTGCAATTTTGTGTTTAAGTATAACGCAGAACACTAATAAAAGCATTTTGTCTATTAGAGAACTTTACAATTAACAATAATATTCAAAGAGTGATACCACAGGTGCTACTAACATTTTATGAAGAGAAACTTGATTTATTAAAGACATATTTATTATGTACATCATATCCACCAAAAGGAATTCAAATAAATTAATAATTTATCTTACACTATATTTTTTGCTTTTTTACTTACAAGCTGAATAAATAATGATTGCAAATTGCGCTATTTCCACAGTTAAATATTTAAAATCCTAGTCCTTCCTAAAAAAACAATTAATAATAAAATAACTCGGGGAAGTTTTGTTCGTACGTGGGAATATTCGATTTCTTTGTGTCTTCCTCTGTGGGACTGCGATTTTCGTTGATTGTTAATGACTTGAATATCTCATTCAGTTTATTCTGTAAAACGTCATGCTGAAAACAAAAATATACGTATTTGTTGTAAAGAATATTTTCCTGTATGGAGTACCTTAGGTTGGGTCCTTCGAACCAATTCGGAGAATGTCGCCGTTCTGAAAGTGTGGCTCAGTTGTTTTCTTCTCTCGGCTTCCGCTTCCTTTCGAATTTCTGGAGGCTCCGTCAGTACTTTTTTCATGCTTTCGAAGGTTAGTTCTTCTTCGGTATGTTTCTACAAAACAAAACGGTTATTTATGCACTAGTCATTAATAAGACGATAATGGAGAACAACAGCGACAGCCTAAGGGATTCATGTCATCCAAGCAACATTGTCGTATGTTTATGCTCCTTGAGCAAACAAGATTTTATTTGTCACAAAAACTGCATAGCAGTTGTATATTTTTTAATAAAATATGTGTCGCTGAGTGAATTTGTGATTTTGTGGATGTCAAAAAGTGCGATGGTTGCTACAATTACTTTCCTTGTTTATTGATTTATTTGATGCGGTGCCATTTTCAAAATTTGAAAGCGATTGTGAAAGAAGTTGAAAAAATTTCGAAAGATATTTAAACTGAAGTACAGTCTGGCTATTAAACTGTAAGATTGAGTGTGTGGTGCTATCTATGTGCGATCAATGGAACTATGTAGTGGGAAGCTTCCCAAGTGACCGAACAAAATTTCATCAGTATACAAGTATCAACCTTGAAGTTACAGCATGAAGTGAGTTTTTGATAGATGTCATGGAAACGTGCAGTGAACAGCATACAGCAATCAAGTTCCATTTTAAAGCTCGTAAAATAGTCACGGGATCATATCAACTGTTACAAATGGCGTATGGTGAGGAGTGTGTATCACATCCGACTGTGTTCCTGTGGTTCGAGAGGTTTCGTGATGGCTGTGACAGCGTGCACGACGACAAGAGGATGGGGCGTCCTCGCACAAGCCGAACAAACAAAAACAACGAAGCTGTGCGCTATACGCTGAAGTCTGATAGTCGATCAACCATCAGAAAGTTGGCAGACCATGTACAACTGATTGACAATCAGACTTCAGCGCAGAACGCACAGCTTCAATGGTTTCGTTTGTTTGGATTGTGCGGGGACGCCTCGTTCTCTCATCATGGTGCACGCTGTCTTGGCTATCATGAAACCTCTCAAACCACAAGAATACAGTCGGACGTGATACACACTCTTCACGGTACACTGTTTGTTGATATGTTTCGGTGGCTGTTTTACTGGCTTTAAAACAGAGCTGTAAGCTGTTCAATGTGCGTTTCTATGACAACTATCAAAAACTCGCTTTACGTAAAATGCTATAACTTCGTGCTAGACATACCTATACTAATCCGGGCGAATTAGGTTTTTTTTTCAAAAATCAGGCCGAACTCGAATTTTATGGGCTTAAAATTAAGTAAAAAAATACAGACAATAAAAGCCTAAATTTGTGTATTTGTAGAGGTCGAGCGTCATATTGTTTATAACAAAAGAAAAAAAAATTATTGCTCTTTTTTCAGTTTTTCGCATATATCTCCGAAAATAAGCCTCTAATCGACATGAGGTATTCTTATGGATTTTCATCCTGAGGAAATTTGCTGCATAGAAATGCTAGAGGCATGCCAGAGTTAGTTTTTCGATATTTTCAACGGTTAAAACAAATTGTAGGGGCTTTGTTAGGCCACGTTTTAAGTCTTGTGACTTTGGAAATTGGCGAACAGCCCGTAAAATTTTTATTTTTCGACTTAGAAGGGTGCGGTTTGGTTTGTTGGAATCCTCGGACGAAATGCTAGAGGGACGCCAGAGTTAGTTTTTCGATATTTTCAACGGTTAAAAGATATGTAGTGGAAAAAAATAAGTTGATTTAAAAAAAAAGCATCCCGGTAGCTGCTTCCTAAGTGCCATAATCCATTTGTTATGTAAGAATTTTGAGAAGTCGAGCGAAGCATGGGCACTGACGTCACAGCGCTTCCCTCTCCTGGCTACCGGTCAGCCGCGTGGATCACGCTGTCTTTAATGAACGTTTACTTGGTTACTTCTTGGTTGAATCCATTAAAAAAAAATTCAGTGTATAAAGTCTACAACGAGATTAAGTTTATTCCAAAATATTAAATAGAACAGCCAAAATACCGCTTAAAGAAAAAAAAATTATCTCGGCTCCTATTGGTCGGATCGAGATTCATGTTTTTTTTAGCACTATTTGATGCAATTGATTTGAAATCTGTATATTAAAAAATTGCCGAGATAAGGACCTTAGTTACCGGTTTTTTTTTGTTAGCAACTTTTTATTTTGCGACTTAAAAATTTGAAATTTGTACAGACCCGAGATAATGTAATTACCTTTCGAACCTTTTCTACAAAATTTCAATATCTTGACTTGGGCAGAAAATATACGTGCTCGCGTTTTCGACTTTATAATTTTGCAATAGGCCGCCATTTTGAAATTTGAGGTCCGAATTATGGGTATTTGTTGAGCAACGGTTATCTTTTCCTGTAGTTCCATCCAATTTCAGTTAAATTTGTTCCTTTTATTTAATTCTGAAAATTTTGCACATTTTTTTTTTCACTGCTAATTTTGCAATGTAAAAAAATGTTTGCGAGCTTTGGCAAAAGCCTATCTTTGTAGCAAATTTCCTCAGGAAGAAAATCGATAAGAATACCTCGTCGATTAGAGGCTTACTTTCAGAGATATATGCGAAAAACTGAAAAAAGAGCAATCATTTTTTTTCTTTTGCTATAAACAATATGATGCTCGACCTCTACAAATATACAAATTTAGGCTTTTATTCTGTGTATTTTTTACTTAATTTTAAGCCAATAAAATTCGAATTAGGCGGATTTTTTAAACAGTCATGTGTTTGGTTTAATTCGCCTGGATTATACATGAAATTTTGTTTAATCGTTTGGAAGGCTTCCAATTACGTAGTTCTGTTGACCGTACAAAAATAGCGCCACACACTTCGCCACAATAAAATCACTCTTAAACTTAATTGCCGCACTGTGATGTTATTTGTAATTTTCTACCTTGTGCAAATTATGAGAAAAAATGTAAAGTATCTATTTATTAAGAGGAAACCTAAAAATTCAGTCTTGATGATTACCGAAGTTATCATTTTAGCTTACCTCCAAAAATTGGCAAGTGGCAACTATAATATTTTTAATGATTTAATGTTTTGAAACAATTTTGGATCAATATTGAATGAAACACAGTGCATTCCATTTTCGATATCCTGCTAAGAAATCTCGATTACAATAGAAAGAGAAATTTGAAGATTTTGTAACAATGACGAAGTAAAAGAAGCAGTCCAATTTTTCCTCAATGAGATGGCGGCGAGCTGGTATGACATGACGCAATGCATCGACAGAAATAGTGATGTAAAAAAATAGAGGAATATTCACGTTTCCAAATGATGTGTCAATTACTGAAATTAAATTTTTTCTACTATTTCTAAAAAACTAGGGGACCTTATTTTTGGGATTACCCTCGTACTTGTTTCCAACTATTAATTCATTTAAAATTTACCCTTTCAACTCTTGGTGAGCTGCTGGCGCTGTCGCCTTCCTGCGCAGGCAACTCTATGATGCTTCCTCTAGCGCCGGATTCGATCCAACTGTTGCGTTGGGACCCTAGTGCTATGCCCGGACCTCCTGCGCCATAGGGGGAGGTCTGTTGAAGTCTCGACGGGTCCAAACCACCGAGTTTGACATACTCGCAAACTGCCATCTTTAAAATAATACATAAATTAGGACCTTTGATTTTCGAACATAGGAAATCTGTTTTTTTTCAGCAATAAAGAAACAAAAAAAAAATGCTATTTCATAACGAAGTTAATGTTTCATTAACGATTGTTAATGACTCATTTAAATAACTAAGATGAATATTAAAATATACAGGGTGCCCCAAATTGCACATGTTACACTTTATCTGGTGATAGAACATCTCAAATTAAGAAAAAATGTTTATAAGCATAAGGTATGTTCTTTTTCGAGATACAGCGTTGAAATTGTAAAAAATGTAATTTTTATTTAAATCTCTTAAAATATTTGACAGATTGATGAAACTTGTGGTAATGACTTTACTAATTATGGGCAAAAATTTGCTGAGTTGATACACAAAGCTGACAACCAGTGGTGGAGATAATGGGGGGTACTATCATTAAAAACAGCAGAATTTCGATGCCAGTGAATAATGGACAAGTCCATTAATTTCGGCTACTAAGAAAAGTATGTGTTCCATTTTATTAAAAAATTTAAATGAAGCCTTTAACATAGTGGAATAAATCTAAAATAACTACAGTACTGTTTCACAAAAGAAATGATTTTTTTGACAGCAAATTAGAAGCAAACTATGACTAGAGCTTATTTTAAATTTAAAAAAAAATAGTTATTCAAGCATGGTTGGGCTTTGGAATAAAATAGAAGACATTTTTATCCAACTGAAATTAAATGCACTTACCCAACTTCCAAACTGTAATGGTTTTGAAATTCTAGGGTTCTTAGTGATAGTATCCCTCATTGACTCCACCACTGATTGGACAAATTTGTGTATCAAATATCAATCATTACCACAGGTTTTATCAAGCCCCGTTAAATATTTTTGGAGTTTTTTAAATTTCAACGTTCTGTATCTCGAAAACGACGCTTTCTACAACCTACATTAATGACTTTTTTCTCATTTTGGTGTTCTATGACCAAGTAAAATTTCTCATGTGCAGTTCAAATCATTCTGCATTATTCTGCTTTGATGATTTAAATTTTAAAAGTTTAATTTGCTAGCTAAAACAATATGCTATAAATAACAATAGGATTGAAGTAAATATTCTAATTTTTATGACTAGATAATTTTCTTCTTAAGCTAAAAACAATTTTTTGTTAGAAATATTTTTTACTGTATTTGTATCACTTCTTGTCACCACTATCAAACTGTTCCACACAAGAACATTTTTAAAGTCTCTCACAGTTGGTTTTATTTTATATTAGTGATGTAAAATAGCATGCTATTTAGTTTTGGGTGATATATATCAAAATATATATCATTATATATATCAGATGAATTTTGTTAAAAAAAAACTATATTCAAATTAGTTTTTTTATATTGCTAATGCCTTGCTGATTAATTTGACACCAAATACATGCCATATATATGAACTTTAAGAAAAGTTATCAAGTGATCGTTATTTTTTTTCATATTTAGATTGGAATTTTATATTTTTTTTATCATACTGACTTCTAATTTTTGTTGCGTGCTACTGACTGTTTATAAGCAAGTACGCTGTTTATTAGCAATTTAGTTTTATCAACCCAGAAATAAAAAATGGGAAATTTCTAGAACAAGAAAATTTAGTCTTTGTATATCACAATACGTACTTAAAAAAAATTAAAGATAAAAATTGAAATAAAAATTATCAAAAACTTATGATAATAAAGAAACTGCTTTAAAGTAGTACTTAAAAATCTGAAAATTTAGGGGTGTACTATAAATGGGGAGACCTAAGAGCGCACGTAATTTCAACTCACCCCTTCCACCCTAGGGGGTGGGGTGAAGGTTTTTTTTAGACGTACCCTATTTATTTTGCGATTTTCGGATTGTACGCGTAAAACTACCCCCAGAAACGCGTTCTTGGGGGTACGTCTAAAAGACCACCCCTCACCCCCTCTGCACCTACTAAGGTGGAAAGGGCCAGTTGAAATCAGGTTCGCTCTTAGGTCTCCCCACTTATAGTACACCCCTAAAATTTCAGATTTCTATATTTATTTTTGAAGGAGAAAAATGCTCATCGAAAAAACGACAAAATCCATACGAGGGTGGTGGTTTGGTTTTTGTGCGAATTCGGCAAGAACGCGCTTTCGGGGGTAGTTTTACGCATAGAATCCGAAACTCGCAAAATGAGTAGGGTACATCTAAAAAAACCACCCGTCACCCCCTAGGGTGGAAGGGGTGACTTGAAATTACGTGCGCTCTTAGTTCTTCCCATCTATAGTACACCCCTAAAATTTCAGATTTTTATATTCATTTTTGACGGAGATATTCCAGGTACCCAAGAGCTACTACAGTCCAACTCAAGCCTACCACACCACAAGTTTTTAGTTTTAAAATGTAAGGTTATGTTTGAAATTTGGCTTTATTCATGAAATGGCGGGAAAATTGATATATATCAGCTATTAACATAAATATAATAGCTGATATGTATCAAAAATTGATATATATCAATTTGTTATATATTTTCACTCACATCACTATTTTATATGATTAAAACTGAACAAAACTGTGGAGGGAAAGAAGTACATATATTACTCTATTCATTTTGTAAGCAAAATGACTGCTCAAATCAATTTTGAATAGGTACCTTCATTTTATTACAAAAGTCGTGTAATCATTAATTACTTCTGATATTAAATTCTATGCATTTCGGGAATAGTAATTTTATTCAGTAATTATAATAGCCATTTACATCGCGAGGGAAGAAAATACCACTTTATCTTCCACAGTTTGTCACTTTCACATCCAGCTTCAAAATTCAAGGAAGGAAAAGGTATTTCTTTCCAGAGGGATGTATATGACTTTTTTATATTACCTTTCATTACGTTGCCTTTAATACTTGATCTATTTGTATTTGCTGCTTTTTTATAGTGTCTTTATTAATATATTCAAAATTTAATTCGCAATAATAAAGAAATCAGAAGTTGTCACCTATAACTATTAAATATCAATGCACTTGTAGCACTGCTACAACACTAAGTGTTGGTTTGTGCAACACAAACAGTTCCTGTTTAAAATTTCAGCACCGCTATTTTCCTCAAATTTTCGAAGAAATTAACTGTTTTAGTAAAATGATGTTTCTCAAAACAATTTGAAAAAGGCTACGGTGGTCTTACATCTTCTATCTCAAGAACCAAGAATAATATAGCAAGACTATATAAAGTTTTTCTCTCCGTACAGCAAAAATGGCATTCTCTGCTCCCAAAGGAGGAAAATCCTGTTTTCTTATATAAACTAATGCAACAAATTAAAAGGTCAAACGAATTTCCGAAATTTTTTCGTGATTTTTGACAGACTGTATTTAGGTGAAAAATGGTCGTATCGGGAATTAAAAAAAAAAAACATTTTGAAGCTCTAAGATTCTAGTTTTTAGATCTTGCAATCGAAATTTTTTAGGAGCTACAGTTATCATGCAATTCTAAGAAGGAGCCCACGGACTTTTTTCAGCTAAGCCATTGCATGGACCAGATAGCTTGTCTATTCAGTTTCAATTTCCATTTTTTTAAGTTTCGATACGACCATTTTTCATCGAAATATCGGACTTTTAATGGAAAAGGATCATTTTGTCTTCAATCATCAATATCTCGACGACAAATAGTCGTACAGATAATTGAAGGGCAGTTTCGAAAACTGGAATAAATTTCCGATAACATGCTGCTGCAACTTTTTAAAATTTTTTTTTTTTTTCATCTTTTACACAAATTTAAAATAACAGGTTTATGATTTTTTAGAAAATTGACGGCTAAATTAGAATATTCACGAAATGACTAATATGAAGCATGACTTTTATAGTTCGATATACCCTCGATATACCCAGAAGAACCCTGTGAAGTTTCATCTCGGAGCAAACTGTTACTTTGTTTCAAACAGTCAAACTTTTGAAAAAAATTAAACGTTTTTTCAGCTTAAATACTTCATAATCATGAGTAAAATGGAAAAAAAAATTTGAGGTTTTTTCACATTTTTACCACAAATAATGTTTAAAATTGATGAAAAAAAAGTTTTTCGAAATTTTTGAAGTTTTTTTTTGTTTTTTTGGAAAACCTTTCAGGCATTGAAGAAAACAAAATTCAATTGTTTCTAACACGATTTGGCTTTTCCGTCCTATGCTTCTGTTCATCAATTTTTAATTAATTTTGATCCCGATTCATATCGTTTTCTGAGACAAATTTCTAATTAATGTTTGTGCAATCTGTAATCACTTAAAAACCAGTTTTTTTTTTAAACTACCCTTTTTCTTCTCTGAAAAAAATTGCAAAATGTTTTTTTTCATCAATTTAGTTACTTGCGGTAAAAATGTGAAATCCTCAAAAAATTTTTTTTTTCAATTTAATCATGATTATGAAGTGTTTAAGCTCAAAAAACGTGACTCTTTAATTTTTTTCAAAAGTTTGTTTGAAACACAAACAGTTCTCTAAATCGACATGAAACTTAACAGGTTTCTTCTGGGTATATCGAACTATAAATGTCATGCTTAACATTAGTCACTTTGTGAACATTTCTAATTTAACCGTCAATTTTCTAAAAAACTATAAATTACGTTTTTCCTGTTTTTTAAAATGAAAATTTTTTTTTCGAAAAGTTGCGGCTGCTATAGGAACTTTATTCCAGTTTTCGAAACTACTCTTCATTTCCCTGTACTACCATTTGTCGCCGAGATATCGATGATTGAAGAAAAAAGGATGCTTTTCCATTAAGTCCGATATTTTGATGAAAAATGGTTTTCTCAAAATTTAAAAAAAAAGGAAATTGAAGCTATCTGGTCCATGCAATGGACTGAAAAAAACTTTTCCAAGTCCGTGGGCAATTCGCAAAATTTTTTTGTCCCGCTATTTCTTAGAATTGCATGATAACTGTAACTCATAAAAAATTTCGGCCGGAAGATCTAAAAACTAGAATCTTCATCTGATACAACCATTTTTCACCTAAATACAGGCTGTCAAAAATCACGGAAAAATTTCGGAAATTCTTTTGACACTTTCATTTTTTGCATTAGTTTAGTTGAAAAAATTACCAAAAAAATACACAAATTCAATTAATGATCGAGTAAGTTTTTTGGAAAAAGCACTCAGATATTTTGATTTATATTATTAATAGCCTATTTTAATTACATTTATACATGGAAGTCAGTTTTTTATTATTATATTATTTATGTAAAGCCCTTTTAAAGAGCTTTTTAACAAACCTACATATTGCACCTTACCTCTTTTAGAACTTTTTTTAGAATATTATGGGTTAAGACTTTTTTAAATGTTTCTCACATACTTATTTACATGGAAACTGAATTCGAAAACAAATCTATTTTAGTCGCTAAGTTTTTATTTTTAATAAATAAATAATAAAAATCAAAGGGAACTGTGGGTAATAAAGTAACTACAACTTTTTGTTTGGAATACTGGACATTTGGATAAACGTGTATTCACATTCATGGGATTCTACGGTACAAATATAAGAAATTTAAATAATTTTAAATATATTTACGGAGTTAAACACTTTTCAATCTGGTAACTAAAACTTCAAACTGACAAGTAATGGGATGGGACATTTCACACTGTACATAAATAAAACATTTTTGTAACTAAGGATCTACATTACCTGGTCAATTAGAAGGTGTGGAAGCTTGTTCGCGACCTCAGTATTTGCCGGATAGTGTGTCAATAAATCGGGTATCAAATGAGGTGCTTCTTGTTTTCTCTGCTCGACAACCTGAGCGCCATATTCTGCCAATGGTTTGATGGTCACCACATGTGGGATTAATACCAGTAAACTGATAACGATGGCATGTAAATTGAATTTCTGAGCATTTGGGAGGGACGTACTGTTCAACGCCAAGCTTTGGATCCTAAAAATTTGCTGTATATAATATACGTTTTGTACGTTATCATTATTATTGCTTGTGCCACATTCTATTCTCGTTCCTAAAACTTCTTCACAGTACACCCACAGCGTACTCTTAAGCTCAAATAAAACACATTACTGTGTCCTGTCTTGATAACTCATGTTAACATGTGTTATCACGATATATGCTGATCCTATTCTGACATGTTTAAATATTATTTATGGGTAAAAGACAATACCAATTTTGATCAGTTGGCGCTACATTGCTGTGATTAATGAAATGAGAAATAATCACATTTTTAACCATCAACTGTGCTCAAATACTTTGTCTAAACGTATATACTTCAGGCATATTAATTATAAAATTAAAAGCAAATGCCACCAAATTTGGAATATTATATAAATTTTAGTTCTAAAGATTTAATAGAAATTTTCCTGATCTGTAACAAAAAAAAAGATATTTAATTAACACAGATTGGAAAAATTGAAAGATCAAAGTAGGCTTGCCTGTCTTTTTGTTTCTAACAAGGCCTACTTAATTTATTAGAAATAAAAATATGGTACAGATAATTTTTTAATCTAGCAGAACTATTCCCCCAAAATTTCTGGGTAAAATTTTTTTGTCATTACATCATGAGTTCTAAAGACAAAATCAACTAATTTCTTAATAGGGTACATCTGTTTATGGTGGTCCATTCAGAACTACACAAAACTTTCGAACAAAGGTAGACTCTTTTTTAGAGATGGGAAAATTCCCAAACTATGAAAATTCCTGGAAAGTTTCCATTGAAAATTATGGAAATTTTCCGAAAATTTCAAAAAATTTTTTTGGATTTGGTATTGTGTTCTACATATCATCAGCTTTCCAAAAAGACCAAATACTTATATTCATTTTTATTTATATTGGTATAAATATTGGAAAAATATAAATTATGTATTAATCATCCGTTAGAAAAATTACATGCTGAGGGTTACAGTATACAGTATACAATATTTATTTTTATTTTTTAACAAACAAATAGTAAATACATTAAATAATTATACTAGTTTTAAAATGTAATTGTACTTTGGTTCAACTATCAAAATTCATATTAAATTTGAAAAGGAGGCAATTTATGAGTCTTGTATTGCTCTCTATTATGTAGATTGTAGACTTAACAGAGCTTAAAATGAGTAAGTGTAAGTGTTTTCTAACTTATTTGGATAATATGGTCTTCTGGTATTCCGAATTAACCGAAAATCTGCAATTAACTAACGATTTTTTGTGTATGTTCATAGAAGTTAGAAGTAAAATTGGCTCCAAGTTTATAAATTGTTAGAAATATTCCCGGAAAATTTCCGACAGAAATTTTTTCAGAAACTTTCCAGGGAAAATTTCTCGAGCTTCGATTATTTCTTCCCGGAAAATTTTCGTTTTGGAAACTTTCCGGGACGGAAAATTTCCCATTGCCCATCTCTACTTTTTTTTGATAAAATGAAAAATATATAACGAGCGTTCAAATAAAAACGTGGTTGAAGTTGGCTCTGACACATTGGACGTAGGGAGTAGCTTATAGCGACCAACTTAACCTCATTTCTCAACTATATAACTTTATTTTAAAGAATAATCGTGATAACAATAACAGACAATTAAAGGAGCTGCGGAAAGTGTCCCCCTCCTTGTTATAACAATAAATTAAAGCAGCTGCTGAAAGTGTCCCCCTCCTTGTTCCAAGCTCTTTTCGCACCTGTTCCTCAAATAATTAAAGATATTTTCTAAGATGCTCGGGGTATTATTAATTTCACGAATCTTGTCTATAAGTCGAGCCTCAAGATGGTTTAAATCAGGAATAGGCAGTTCAAAAATAGTGTTTTTAAGGTAAGGCCACAAAAAGAAATCACACGGCGTAATATCGCATGGCCTCGGTGGAAATTCATGTTCAGCATTGAGACTTATTAGTCGATTTTGGAAAACTTCCCTCAACATATTCATCGTCTCGCCTGCCGTATGTGCCCTTGCGCCATCTTGTTGAAAGTAAAAGTTTGTAATTTCGTTTTCTTCCAGCTGGTTAACAAAAGGAGCGATAATTTCTTCTCTATACCTCTATACCATTAAAAAAAATAGGTCCATAAATCCTCCTTCGATTGAGAGCACACCAAACTCCAATTTTTTGAGCGTGTAAAAGCGACAAAAAAGTTATCTAGTTTTTCAGAAGACCACATTCTCATATTCTGTGAGTTTACGTAACCACTTAAATGAAACCAGGCTTCATCAGAAAAAAATGTGATATTATGAAGTTCACCGTAGTTGTTTAAAAACCATTCACAAAATACAGCCCGTCGTGGAAAATCAACTTCATCAAGTTCTTGCTGACAAGTTAAACGATAGGAGAACAAACGCAAATCTTTTTTTAACACTGTGTGGCAGGTACCGACTGATACTCCCACCATTTGTGATAAAACACGTACAGAAGTTCTTGGCGCATTTTCCATTATTTGTTGGACATTTTCTTTTAATTCATCAGTCCGCTTTTTAGGTCGGCCGCTTCCTTCTTTTCTTGTTACACTGCCCGTTTCACGAAAAACATTAACACAACGCTGAACTGCACTTTGAAAAATTTTGTACTCGACAACGCCGGGAAATTGATTTTGAAATTCTATGAAACATTCCTCAATAGAATACTTCCATATTCCATCAATCTTGCATCCATTTCTAAAGTAGGACTCTATGATAAACACTTTTTGTTCTTGAGAAAACACCATTTTAAACGCTTTTTAAAACGAAAATATTCAAATTGATAGCGGCGATATAGCGCTTTGACAGATGACGTTTAAGTTCATTTGCTATACGCTACGCCCTACGTCCAAATTTTCAGAACCAACTTGACCACGTTTTTATTTGAACGCTCGTTATTTTTTTCATTCTTTTACCTCCAACTTTGGACACACTGTATAAGAATTGTTATTAGTTTTTCTATTAAATTAATGTTATTAATTACCCTAACAAAAGCTGCAACAAATCTATGACTGTTTCTGCGCTTGCCAGTTCTATACAAAGTAGTGCCAATGTAGTGTAAACTGCCTCGATGTTATCAGGAGTATTTGTATCCATTTGTAAACTCGTGTACAGTGCGTCATAAATTATTGGTCCATGCTTATTAATAAATATCAGATCTGGCCTTGAGCATTTCTCTATTGTCAAGTCTAATTCCAATGTGTTAACCCTGTAAAAAAATTGAGCTGTTAATAATGTCAATAAATGAAAATGGAGACACATATATCACAATCCAAATTTGTTAAAGGAGAAAGGTGTTTGAATATTAAACAGTAAATCGTACATGATGTGAACATTACGGGTTTATTAAGGATGAGTGCTGGCACAAACATGTAAAAAAAATGTTAGGCAAAGTAATAAGAGGAATAAAGATGTCACCAAACATACAACTAGTGGCAAAAAATAAAAGTTCGGTAATAATTCTAGATCTCTAGGAGTTAAACTGTCAAATATAAAGTTACATATAAATAAAACGACCTTTTAACTTTTATAGAGTATAACAGTCATTCAAAGTACCAAGGTTTTTCAGGTTGTGACGTTACAGAAGTAAGTATATTGCACTTCCTTAGCCTCAGCGAAGATTTTTTTACCTGACTGCTTTTGTTGTTCTAGGGCTAGGCTCTGTTGATTCAAAGACTGCTATGGATGAAAAAAGTTCTTCCAGCGTAATTTTTCTAAATTATACATATCATATCGTCCCTATTATCATGTAGAGGCATATGTGTATATCCATTTCTTGGATTATACACCCCTATGTGATAAGAGGGACGATATGTATGTATTTACATACTGCAAAAACAAAGGGAGTGTATTTTAACATAACGTTGTTTTAACCGGCCAAATCGTTATCCGGTCAGTGTTCCGAAATGGTCGGTTAAGGGAGTCCATTGTAGCTTAATCCAGAAGTCTTCTTATTCTCGCACTTACTAATGTTCAGCCATGTAGTAAAAACATGTGCACTAATAATTAATCTATGTCTAATCCTAACCCTCTAACTAAATTAGAGTATATTTTCTCCAACTCCACTTGAATACTAACATTTTTTTGAAAGGGTTTACAAAAAAAAAAAGTTGAATATCACTGTTTTAGAGAGCCACCATTGTCTGAGAAGCAGTTCTTTCTGTAGCAGTCTTAGAACCAACAATAACAACCACTGGTAGGCCTAGGGGTTCTGATAGCAGGTCCACCCTCATAGAACCTAGCCCGAGAACAAGGGCAGTTCAAAGATTCCTAATAGCTGTTTTACATTGACAATTTATTGATCAATTAATTTATGAAGCCGCTTCATCAAGAAATTGGAGAAGTGTAATGCACCAAATCTGCTGTCAAATAACTTGATGAATTTATTCATCAAGTTCTTGACGAATTAGAGCATGTTCTGATTTTCGTCAATTTCTTCGTGAAGTTTGGAAGTACCAACCCAACAGATTTCCAGCCTTAGATCAGTAATGAGGTTATGATATTGGAATGTAAATAATTGTGTGGCGACGTACTAGTTTTGCATTGTTTTTACTGATTTGTTACTTACAAACACTAACAGTTATATAATACATATGTGTATATGGTATAGTGATACAAAACGGTACCGCTGTTGTATCACTACTATTATGAGTGGAAAGGTGGCATTTTTGAAATTTATTTGCTTCTTTGATTTGTTGGTAGAATTGATTCATGCGTCAAAAAAATTGACAGATTCTGTAGCAATGTAAAACTTCACTGTTTACCAATAAATTCGTGAATTAATTCATGAAGAACTTCGTCAATTTATTCATCAATAAATTGTCAATGTAAAACAGCTATAACTAAAGCTAAGGAAATATAATGTAACTACTTGCGACATATATGGATACCTGCAGGAATATGGATTTAATTTTTTTTAACTATTTTCCACCAACTCGACTCTTCTGTAATTTTTATATACAGGGTTTTATATACTTTGCTATAGCAAAAGTACCAGAATGGCAGAATAACTCGATGGGAGAGCATTTTAGAGAAAAATGTTAAATACAAAAGTTTCAGGATTTCTCCCTGGCTATCTGATGGTGACATTGACAATGATCTTGAAGATCATTTCAAGGTCAAATGTGATTTTTCAAATGGGACTCTATACTTTTGATCCCAGAAATGACGAGAGCTGAAAATTTTGAAATTGCGAAGCCTGAAGGCAAGGTTTAGTGAACCCGGCCAGTGAAGGCAAGGTTTAGTGAACCCAGCCAATGCAGGCAAATGAAGGCACATGAAAGAATATTTTTTTCTAAAATGCTCTCCCGCCGAGTTATTCTGCCGTTCCCGTACTTTTGCTGGTTTGATCTTGTGGGGCCCCAAGGTCAAAAGGGAGGGGTCACTCGAGGTCATATCTGAACGTAAAATTTTCCGCTCTTTTCATTTCTGGGGTCAAAAGTATAGGGTCCAATTTGAAAAATCACATTTGACCTAGAAATGATCTTCAAGGTCAAGATCAACGTCAAGGTCACCATTGGATAGCCAGGGAGAAATCCTGAAACTTTTGTATTTAACATTTTCCTCTAAAATGCTCTCCTGCCAAGTTATTCTGCCATTCCGGTGCTTTTGCTACACCCTGTATAATAGCTAACTAATGAATGAAATGAATAAACCGTATTTTGTATGGTAGGTGTCACTTCAGTGGTTGGTATCAAAAATGACCCCATAAAAAGATATAATTCTCATTTTCCACCGTTTTTAATCGAGTAAAAATTCTAGAAAAAAATCTATAATATGTAATTCGCATATATTTATAAATAGTTTCAACCTCATTAAGATATCTCGAGTACTTTTGAAAAAAAAATTAATTTAATGTTAAGGGTTGCCACGCCCATTATTACCCAATTAATGGGGGCAGAACTCTGAAATTAAGTGAAGATATTTTAGATGAAGAATAATAAATACAAGGTAAGAATTCTTCATTAGAAGTTGGTGCAGTTTTCATATGCTTAATCGGCTATACCCTTTGGAATGTACTGTGGTAGGAATCCAATGGTTTAATAGTCAAGCGTGTAAAATTAATTATAAATACCGATTGTTTTCAGTGTGTTTTGAACTTTCAACAGTGAAACACTGCTTATTGTAATAGAAAATTCTTACTACCTTTTACTTGCCTATTTTTTGTACTTTTCACTCTTTACTTTTCACTTTTGTGGCTATCTTCTGTTTTCAAAATTAGTATTAAAAAATAGGTAATCTGCACAGTGAAAGTGAATAGCTGAAGCTTCTTAAAATGCCTAACATTTATGTAAATTATATTTTTTTATAAAACAGAATTATTCTTTGCTTTTTTAATTTTGTAAAATAAAAAGTGAAAAGTTGAAAAATACTTTAAAAAATAGGTCCCTGAGTTGTGGGGGCACGGCTAGGGATACCAGATCTATGTATTTCATGACAGACCCGGAGACATTAAAATATTGTGTTACATTTAACCATTGCCTACAGGGCGTTTGTATAATTGATGTCAAAAAAAAAAAGAAAAAAAGGTTATGCAATCAGGAAATCTGGGAGACAAAATGTTTTCGATGTCTAAAAAAAATGTGGGAGGCATAAAATGTTTTTGAAGAAATCACGATTTTTCCTCAACAAACCCGAAGAAATGACATTAACTTGGAGCCAGAAGATGTACCATCAAACCCCGAAACCTCCGGGTCAAACCCGGAGATCTGGCAACTCTAGACACGGCTCCAACTGATCAGCAAAATAATTTATTGAACGCTCTTTAAGGTCTTTTAAAGAGAATTCATCAACTCTCTCTGCAATTTAGAAAATAACTCTAACAGAAGAAGATTCAAAATTATGTAGATCGATAAACCGGCATGAAGCAAAATGGCACTATCATCATGCTCGAGATGGGCCCCTGCTGTTAGCACTGGCAGGTGAACCGCTCACAGTGGCGTTTCAGCTATATTTTCACCACCTGAACCTTCAAAGGTTACGCGTTTGAACAACAGAACTGAAATTTAGGTTTGATTTCGAGGCAATGGAACCTAGGCAGCATTTTTTAAACTTCTCTAATGCTAGAATCCCAAGAAATTATGACAGTACTCTCAGACCCCTAACGATTGTAACTTAATTTTCAAACTGGATATATAAAAAACAGAAAACTTACGTTGGCTTGGAGAGTTTTTCTAGGTTTTGATGCCTATCGATAAGAGTGTGCAGAATTTTTTGTACGAGTAGTCTCATGTCAGGATCTGGAGCGAGAGACATCCTTAAGAGAGGCTCCAAAAATGAAACAGGAAATGTCGTGTTTAAATGGATCGTTTGGTATTTTGTCCCAACCTAAAAAAAAAAATAAAAGAATAATTGAAAATAATTTATGGAATATTTTCTTTTTTGTTTACCTTTAACAAACTCTTCAGCAATATACTCTGCAGCAAATTATCTGCCGGCGTGTGATTGTCGACCAATGGGAAAGGAATCTTGCTCATAATGAACATCATTATTTCGATCTTCTGGTAATCCGGAAGATGATTGGCAAACTCTCCCAAGGCATTGATAAGAGCTTCTTGGTACTCCTTTTCTTCAGTTTGACTAGCTTCGTTTCTAACAGAATCCCGTAAATGGCTCAACAACGAGTTGATGATTTCTAATACTGATGGGCCTACGAATACAATGTGTTACCATATTTATGAATGGTACTTCTGAAGTCTGTTTTACTTACCAACACTTTCACCTGCTGCTATGGCTATAATTTTAGCTAAAACTCCTGCGATACTTGTTCTAATTGTGGGACTCGATTTGGAATTTTCGTCTAAATGCGCCATCAATGTTTCTACGACTGTATACGAATATTGTGCCTAAAAATGTTTTTCTTTTCATATTACATAGAATGCACGGAGGTAAAATGCTGAAAATTTGTGAGCTGAGGCTATTACCTTCTTCGTAAGAAGTTCACAAAATATTTGATTTGATTCAAATCTTAAAATACAGGGTGTTACGATATTCATACAGTAGCATGTAAAAGTGAAGAAAAAGCTTATACAGGGCGTATTTAAATAACACCGAAAAAATTTAAGCGGCGATTCTCTGATGAAAAATAATAGGGATCTTTAGTATAAAATTTTTTGAAAAAACTGAAGTTACACCCCTCCAAAAATTTCAAAAAAAATTTGTTTTTTTTTTATCTTCCATGTATATCAAGCTAAAGAAACCAAACTTGGTGAACATTATCTGTCGATAAAACTACTTTTTGAAATTTTTTCAATCCTGAAATATTTTTGTAAGAGGTTGAAATAATCAACCCTTAGGGGTCATCCATTAATCACGTAGGGGAGGGAGGGGACTTCGGATAACATCACTATTGCTCACAATGGGGGAGAGGGGGTTGTTACATATCACGTGTATATTTTAGCGCAACCATGCCCGAGAATGCCTTGCTGTGAGCTGCGATATGACATCACGATAAGTAACGCGCAATTGATGTCGTCAATCTTTGTAAGATCGACCGTCGCCTTGCCTGCGCTGGCTGATAACCACCAGTTTTTTTATTGATTTTCATAAAAAAATATACTGAAAATATTTTAACAAAAAAAATACACGTGATGTTAGATGGGGGGGGGGGCGTAGCTTACAACCTCATCACGTATCACCAGGGGGAGGGAGGGTGTAAAAAAAGTGGCCTAAAAACCTCACGTGATTAATGGATTATGACATTTTTGGCAAAATACACTCACGTTAAACAGCTCATCTTTTTAAAAATGCATTGTAATACATTTAATTTTTTTTCTCCTAAATCCTTAACTTTTCGAAAAAACTTGAAGAGATCAAAAAGTTAGTAAGCGAATGTGGCTTTTTAGACATATTCTTTAAAAGCAAAAAATTTTATTGAAAAAAATTATAAGAAAAATGCCATAAATGTTGATTATTTCAACCCCTTACAAAAATACTTCAGGGTTGAAAAAATTTAAAAAATGTTTTTTTGGCAGATAGTGTTCACTAAGTTTGGTTTCTTTAGCTTGATATACATGGAAGATAAAAACGAAAAACAATTTTTTTCAGAAATTTTTGGAGGGGCGTAACTTTTCAGAGGAGTTTTTTCAAATACATCATTATGCACTTAGTTTGATATCGAGGTATAAAAAAATTGAAAAATACATTTATGCATGATGACACGGGATTTCTTTTTGCATTACGATTAACATGATAGAATATTTCTTTTCCAGTCTATTGGATCGGCAGAGGCGACCATTAGATGGCTATTTCACTCAACGGACCAACTCCATGTAGCCGTTTATTAACGAGTTTTTGGAGTATTTAAAATTTTTGATCAAACAAATGACACCATGGATCATACATAATTCAGCTGTCAAAGTCAATGGTGCAGAAGATGTTTAACAACATTTTGAATAACTATTACGATTATTTTCTTGTTTTCTTTAGTTTACATAAGCTTTTTACTTTGACGCAAGCTGTGAAGCAGCGATCTACCTGTGGGGCACATAGTGCAACGTGCAATCCTTCATTTATCTAGCAGGCATGTTTTTGTTTAAATGTCCCCTGATTTAACCCCACTAGATTTTTTTTGTGGGGTTATCTAAAAAGCAATGTGTATGTGAGCAAACCAGACACTATAGGCTTTTTTTCGCGAGTGAATATTGGTGAATACGTCTGACTTGTAGTTACTGTTTCTATCTTTTTTAATCTTATTTCTAACCTTGTCTAACCTGAACAGATCGCGAAAATGTATATATTCACTATTCAGTGGTGCAGCCTGTCATATAATATGTACTTTAACAACTTTGACATATGGGTTCTAACTTCTAACCAGTAACCATAATTTGTCATCCTTTATTGCTTCCAGTAGTCTAGTGTAGTGGGAATTGGTGTTATCTCACTATATAATATATGTATTTGCTTCAAATAAAACTGAAGGAATATATCAATGCTTTCTTTGGAATATTTTTAAGTGGCAAATTTAAAAAGCGTGAAAAGTATGTAGATTCTGATGTTGCAAGATATGCGAATATTCGACATAATCGTTATCGTAAAAGAGTGGAATTTGGTCATTTATGTCAATGGCTACAAAACAGAAATTGTGACATGGCTCTATATTTTTTGATATTTTTGTGGAATGAGGATGATGATGTTCCTTATTTATGTTATAAGTTTAGAGAATCATATCATATATTCTCTATTCCAGAAAAAAATTAAACTAGAAAGAGGTTAGGTTGGTTTTTTATGTAATTCATACGAAAAAGACCTGAATTACAAATGATTCTACCAATATTATCTCTGGCCTAGGTCATAAAAAAAAGAGGATAATCCTGAAGCAAAGTGGATCGCAAATATATCCCATACAGAAAATTAATATTACCATTAAGTAAAATATTTGCTGTTTCAACGTCTACGTTTACTAAAACATCTGTGCATCAAAAGATTAAATTTAAACTGACCACTTCCACAGCTGTATCAGAATCCATCATTTTGCTGAACAATTTTTATCCTCATTTAAACAAAATGTCAAAAAGAAAAGGGTTAAGTTACCAGCTGACAATACTAGTTGAATATACCAACAGAATATTCAGCTGAAGGGTGAAGAGTTCAGTCATTTGATCTAAACTTGTGACGTCACATAGTAGTTTAAATGACTGACTATTCTCGCAAAAACGTAATATTCACTCATACTACACATACTACAACATACGACTTCACTCGCGAAAAAAAGCCTTTTGGAAGGATTGAAAAATCGTATCAGAGAAGAAGTTCGAAATACAACACCAAATGTTATTCAACATATAATTGATAATTTTGAACACCAAATTGGGCATTGTGCAATGGTTAATAGGGGCCACTTTGAACATTTGCTGTAATAAATTAAAAAGTAATACTAAATTATTGTTTTCATTTAATTTCTCAATTTTTTGACAACTATGACAAAAAAGTAGGTATAACCTTATATCGCTGAATTCATCTTTAGAAGGGCTATCTATTTATACCATAAATTATGTGTCCTATTAAAAAAAATATCGGTAATGTTATAAGTCTGTCAAACGGCTCAAAAAAATTGAAAATGTTGCAGAAAAGTGACAATTTCTATTTATTAATTGACCATTCCAGCGATTTTTTTAAATTTCAACTGAAAATTTTTTTTTAATTTTGTTCCATTATCTTGGGACACACTGTATAAATTACTTACACAGTCAATTTTTTTTTTATATTTGAAATACATACCTGAATTGAAAACATTATAATTCGGAAAGTATGGATTGCAAATTGATTAGGAACCCATAACTTGTGAAGATCAAAATGTCTGAAAAGAAATATAATTTTTTTAAACTAGAATTAAAACATTACCAGATTTACACATCAGAACATTTCTGCTTTTAATTTTTGCAAAATTGTGCATTTTCATCTTAATTAATGCAGTAAATCTTGGTCCTTACCTCAAAACAGGTCTGAGTACGGCTCTGATATGTCCAAACGAGGCCCTACCAACTAGTTCCCTCATACAAGTTTCAGCCAGCATTGGTGGATCTAAAGTGTCTTCCGGGGCCACGTCTATACTCCCAGGCTCTTTTTTGTGGAAGCCCGATTCCTAAAAATTTACAAAATTTGTTATTTCAACTTGTTTTTATATGTACACCAATACATTTTTTATCTTCATACTCTATTTGTATAGTAAACATTACATATGGGAAACGTAGGAAGCCACAAAATGACAAACACATAGTTCGATTACTTACCTGCATATTAAACAACAAGCTGGGTACTATCTTGTCCATGTGGACGGGCTCCCAAATATTCTCCACCAAATCATCCGACACCGTTTTCCGTACAACGGCCTGCAACCCTTTGATTCCAGCTATTCGTATTTTATCCCTAATGTCCTCTCGGTCTCCGCTGTGGCACATGGCAGAAAACTTGCTTACAAAGAAATCATATCTTCGATGGTACGATGGAGTGTCTTCTTCTATATTTGCAAATTTAACGAACTAAAAATAATAGGAATATTTGCAAAAAAATACATGTTAACCTAAGATTAGCATACAATATTTTATCAGTACATTTTGTGGGTAAAATAAGTTCCAGATAAAATAATGAAATTTGAAATAAAGAGGTTGGAAAATATACAGTCATAGTCTCAAAATGTTATATAAAATGCATGTAAAATGAAGGATACGTTTATTTTAAGGTTATGTGATATTATTGCCAAAATGATCGCTAGTTCATACATTTAGTTTTTAGTTTTTTAGGACTTGTAGTTTCTTTCAACCGCAAAGAAAATGGAAATATAAATAATAAGAAGTAGTAGTAATAATAATTAACTCAAATTGGTACTTTTATTTTTATTTCAAATTTTATTTTACCTGTATTCCCCAAGCAAAAAATTTGGAAAATCATTAAATTAGTCTATTAATACACTGATGGGGTAAATTCCCGCCTAATCTCAAAAACTTAAAACATCTATATCTCGAAAATGGTTGAGTTTTTGAATTTGTAACAAGTATACATTGTTTACTTATAATTGAACGTACATATACTCCACGGTCGAAATTATAGAGTGTGATTCATCGCTAGTTTTTGGACTAGTAAGGGGGCTGAAGCGTGCCAGGAACGAAAATCCATTGGCGTGTCTGCGTAAAAGGCAACAATTTATAGAAAATAATGAAAAAAGATAATAAAACATAACATCTAATATTTTTTACGGTTTGCTATAACAGGCACTTTGATCCATTTTAATTATTACAGCATTTTAAAACGTCCCAATTGTGTATTTTTAATTTATAAATTTATTATAGCCATGGAATTAGACGCCTCGTCTACGATTATGCTATGACGTTTCTCAGGACGGGTTAAATCAAGTCCGTTTACACCCACTAAAAAAGCATTTCCCTATTCCCTACCAAGTGCAAAAGACAGAGATAGAATATAGATCGACGTTCAGTGTAACTCGGTCTCTAGACGATTATAGAATCTATTGATGTGCGTAGCGAGCGGCACAAAGATAAATAATATTGAACCGTATAAAAATCATTTTATATTTTATACACATTATGGTAATAGTGTTTTTATATTATGTCTTAGTCACTCTTTATAATTTCGACCGAGGAGTAAAGTTCAATAATTTCTAGTTAAAAAATTCAAAATTGTAAAATACAAATAGACATATTGTTACATTGATAGGACAGTATAACTAGCGCCCCCTAGACTTGACCCTATCTATTACTGGTTGCATATTCGTATTTCCCACTTCAAAAAACGTAAAACTACAAATTTTCAAAACAATCAGTCCATATATATTTAAAATATAGCAAAAATTGAAAATATTTTTTAACTTTAATACCCTGTAGAATGAAAAGGAGCAACAGTTAATTACGGCATTTTTGGTTCAATTGCTATATTTTGACGTTAACAAACTGCTATTAAGCTGTGTATCATTACTAATTACTCACCCTGTATAATTTATATTCACACGACGTAAAATTACACAATACAGACAGACAGAGAACACAGTTAGTGATCAGTTAAAAAATTTAGAAAATTAGAGAAAAGTTTTTTAAATTTTTAGTCACAGAATACGTTGGTAAAATATTCCATGCCAAATTTATGACAACCGATACATAAATTATCGCACTTGTAAGTATACATTAATAATAACTTACCGATTGAGTGGCCAAAATTTGTAACTCGGGCTCGGTGGATTCGAGAAGCTTCTGCACCATCTTCAGGAAACTCTCGACAAACAGATTCAACGTTGGTGCGTGGCAAGCCAGTAGAAGTTGATCCATGGCCTCCATCGCAATAATGACAAAACTACAACAAAACAAAGTAGGCCTAGTTCATCAACCTGATATTGATTTGTCCTTTGTATGTAAACATGCAACAGTGTTAAATTATTCTTACACCTTAAGGTATATTTAATTCTTTGGACTAAAATAGAACTAGCTAATCAATAAAGTTAATCACAATGGTAATCAGAAAAAAATGGGACAAATTTATGCTTCCAATTCAAGAGAGGTAAATGAATATGTAACACTTAATTATTAATATTAATAAATATATTTGAAGAATTCAATCTGTAATCTAGGTATTAACATAATAAATGTTATAAATTAATTAATAATTCTGAGGTGATAATAATAACATATTTGATGATAATTATTAGTATTTGATTATCATATTTGATGCGCTGTGCAAAAAATCTAGGCAGACAGCAATAATAATGTAACAAATGGAAAAATTGGTAATGTATTAATGACATGACGGTTTATTTCTTTAAACAAAAAAGGTACTTCTCATGAAAAAGTATAGAGTAGTAACGTAGCAATCTTCAACCATTACTTTGAAAAATGTATTATTCTACACAGCCTTCATAAATGATTACAAACCAAGTGACCAGTTATTTTGTTTGGGAGAGTAATTTTACTTCTTTCACATTGGCAATTAAATTTCAGTAAAATTAAAAATTATTATTCAACCAATCATTAATATCCGTAACAATAAGATTCGAGGATTTTTAGATGACAGTACCAACCAAGCAAAGCTAGTTTCCTAAGCTCAGAGGTCACGTGGCTTGTAATCATTTATGTATGCTCTGTATGAACACCACACAAATTATAAACTTGTTTTTAATTGTATGGATTTTATATGCTGTTTGACTGTTTTCAGATGACAGACATGGAATCGGTGATTGTCTTACGAGTATTCTGGAACAAATTTGAAAATATTATACAGATTATTCCAGTTTTATTCTAAAAATAATTTGGAATAGGTAGAACTAGTAAAAGTATTGTGATATTGGTTATATAAACTTATTTCAAAATTTAACCATTTTCAAAAAAGAGGGTGTTACAATAATTGAAAAAATATTTATCCAAATATCTCAGACACAGATTGATGAAATTTGGGCTAATAATTTATCTTGTTAAAAGTAAAAATGTATTGTCATTAAGAACCTCAGAATTTAATCATTGGGTATTTTGATAATTGGATAAGTGTATTTTTTAATTATCAACATTATTTTTAAGAAAAAAGGTCTTTTTTACTTAAATCTTATAATGGATAATTTTCTATTTTTTTAAATTTAAGATTTTTACATAATCGAACAAAGGACCCCTCACAAATCAAATGGAAATTGGCTTTCGGTGAAATCGGCCGAATTTTGGATATGTTGTTCCTTTCGGTGTCCAGATCAAAAGTCTCCACGGGCATGAAGCTCGAAAATCTTCCCTGCGAGCAGTTCCCAGCTTGGAAGGTTAGAGATCGGCAATCTCCGATTTTCGCAAATTTTACCTCTACCCTTGCATTTTCGGGATATATATGAAGTTATATTATATATATGAAGATATATTATACAGGGTGAATCAGAACTTATCCAAAAAAAAAATTCTGGATGTACAGGGGTCCCTTACAAATACAATTTTGTAAAGAAAAAATCAAAAAAGGCAGTTCGAAAATGATTTAAAAATACACTTTTGCACGGCACTGGAATCTGTTCCACTATAAAACCTGACTGCGCACAATGCGACCGGCATGGCGGTTTGATAAAAACGGACAAAAACTTTAGCAAGGAAAGAAATAAATATTATAGCACCTATTTTATATTAGCACCTATTTTATATTGGCAAATTCAACTGCTTTTGCCTTTATTAATTAATAAAATTAATTTGTGTTTTTAAGTAATAAAATTATTTGACATACCCGATGTTACAACAACAATTGTTCCAAATTTTATCCACCAACGTGTAAACACATTTGGGTCCGTCTTACTCAGTTTCTACGAACTACCACAAATATTGTCTTGTTTCACCATAACACAAATGCTTCACCATAATACAAATGTTGTCTTGCTTCACCATAAATTAAAACAATATCCATCAACTCTGAGTTGCTATACACGCAAACCATTTTTGACACCAACTACCAAAAAACTATTGTAAACACCACACATAACAGGTAAACACTATCGTAACGGCGATTGCAAAATCGGACTTCAGTATTCGGAGTCGCTGAGGCCACATGTAGAGGTAAAATCAGCGAAAATCGGGGATTACCGGTCTCTAACCTTTCAAGCTGGGTACTGCTCACAGGGAAGATTTTCGAGCTTCGTGCCCGTGGAGACTTTTGATCTGGACACCGAAAGGAACAACATATCCAAAATTCGGCCGATTTCACCGAAAGCCAATTTCCGTTTGATTTGTGAGGGGTCCTTTAAAATATCACTCAAATTATAAATTTTCTCCAAACAAATTATACCAATCTTTTGATTACACAATACAATACAACAGCAAAAGTCCAAAAAAATCATTGGCAGAAATTTTTTATTTTTTTGCAAAACTGTGCTTCTCCCTGTTATACGACAATGATATTTTGGGCCAAATAATTAGTCCTTTTATATATGTATGATTTATTATATTTTTTTAACACGTATTTTTTCTCTTGAAAACTTTTTTACGGATATTTAAAATTTTTCAATCTGTGGTAAATGTACATTAAATTTAAAAATATATTTGCCTCATTTCTTGAACAAAGTAACTATTTTGTATTTTGAAAAAGGTCGAGATTTTGAAATAAGTTTATACTCGTAACAAAGTCTCATTATTTTGAATGCTTTTATCTTTCCCTAAATTTTATCATAATAAAAGTGGGACACCGTGTACTGTATTTTATTAATATTTGTGACATTTTAAACTATCGAAGCCTAGCTGTGTTGTAATAAACACAATGTTTAATAACTGTACCTCGATGGTTACACTTGAATTGAGACTTAAATAAAGTATAATAATGTGAGTAACTTCAATCTTTAGAAGAAGAATTTTAGATTTAATTCAGTTATGAAAGGAATTTTTAAATTTGCAGTGATTTCTTTATACAATAATATTACAAATATTTATCACTATAGAACTCGAGGTCATAAATGAAATGAACTGGACTGTAATTAATAATGATGTCATAGTGTTTGGTTAAAAGTATTTTTGCAGTACAAATAAATTGTATATATTTTCTACTGCACAAAAGATATCAAAAATAAAAAAATCATGACTAAAGGAAAATCTTTCACCTTCCTCTATTAAAATAAGGAATCAGAATGGAATTAGGATTTGAATTTTAAAGGTTTCAAAAATACTTTTATTTAACTATGAAATAAATCATATGAGTGTATCTAGAAAAGTAATTTGTATGACATCTATTACAAATATCTATAAATATACTAAAGTAGATTGTCAGTAACATGAAGCAGTGTTATCTTAGGTATTATGCAGGATCAAAGGATGTTCATCATTTTCAAATTCACTCAAATATTCTTGTAGTCAAACCATGAATTATCCACTTGTCAATTTAGTATTTTAATGAAATATTAGTTTGAATAATCTAACACCCAGGATATGTTTTACAAGGCAGTTATTTCAGTTTTTTAATTTTACAGATTACGAGATTTACTTAAATCATTATTTTGGAGTTACTTTTTATCACATTTTATATAGGTACAAACTTTGTCTTTTCTTATCCTTTACTTCCACAGTGCTCTAATTTCCATGCATCTACTTGTATCTAAATGGTCTTTAAGGAAAAACATTATTTTTCATGGGACAAGTTAATATGTTTGAGTTTGATGCAGATTGAACTATTGATATATAACGTAATTACTGTTTAATTAGGTTATAGACTTTGTACTTTGAAAACTTTATATAATCATTTTAGTATGAATATTTATATATCATCTTATAATTATTATAAGCTTCCGATTTTGCATTCCAGGACACATGACAATCAAATACTTGCAATTATATTCTCTTTGATTTTTAACAATTTTTTTTCTGCAAACTAATATTACATACCCATATTTTTTACGGTAAATATCTCTAGCTGCCCTCTGATATAAATACTCCCCGATCCTGTCCAACTTCTCTGGAGAACTGAGTGAATAGAAGGTAAGTTTTTCCATATTCGACTTAACCAATCCATCTTGAGGATATACAGGAAATATATTATCAACAAGTCTTTTGTATCTGGGTCTAAAAGCGCTACAGCACCCGCAACAACCTGTAAAATCGAATATTTATGGAAATATTAATAATATTAAAATAAACAATAAATAAAGTAAACTTTTAAATAGAAGACATTACCGTTGCACATGTTTATTTACTAATATTAAATGATTCACACGTAATAAAAAAATAAAAGTATTTCCCACTTTATACCTAGACCGAGTGACATCACTGCAATGCATTTCATCGGTGACAGCAATGACAGTTGACAGCTGATTGCGATCTGTTTATTTGTCCATACGTGTACCTAGTGCAATATTTTGGTGGATTTAACGATTCAGCCAATAGGTCTGTTCCAACAAGAGTCAGGGATTGGTTCCGAACCGTCAGAAATGTGCATCCAACTAATTCTTGCGATATATTCACCGAAAACACATTTAGAACTTAGCTGGCCAAACATTTCGAACGGTTCGGAACCAATCCCTGACCCTTGTTGGAACATACCTAATGTCTTCCAAATTGCAAGATTATAATTTTAAATATACAAAAAATGAGTAAATGTTATAGGAGAATAAAACAGATGGAAAAAATGGCTTAATATAGAGTAAAAAAATATAAGTAAAATAATCCTAACACAATAATTTGTAAATCGATTGAAACATATTTTTGAAATTGCAAATTTCATTTTCATAAAATATTTTAAATCTATGGAAACAAAACTAAAATTTTAAAAATTATTACCAAAAATAAAATCCGTATATCTAACCTTCGATAAGTTTAAGAGCTAGCATAACGTTTGCAACACATTAAATACAGAATTATATAATTATCACTAAACTTGTTGGTTAAATATATTAATTAAGAATGTATGTGTAATCAATGTAGGTAATCTTTAATTATCTGTTCTTTACAATAGGTATATAGTAACGTGATTTATCAAATAGAGATAAAAATAGATAATTTTAAGTAAGTACCTAATGAAAAATCTTGTAAATAGTTTGTTACTAATAGGCTGTAAATAGTAGCAAAATTCAAATAGGTATTTTTTTTTGTCACGGCCATTGTTTTACTTGTATTTGTATTCATATGTTAAGTTAATTTTAATTCGATTCTAAACATAAACGTTTATATTTGTATCTTATTTTCGTGAATAGGAAAGAATATCGCGATTCGCGATATCTGGCTGGAAATAATAAGAAATTTTTCTATCTTTTACTTTTTGTATAGTATAAAAATGACAAAATAGAAAACCCTAATTGTCATATTAAATTAAAAAAATATATTTATTTGTTTGTGTATATTTTCCCATTATATTTTATTCTTCGTAAGGTGCCTATATTTGTAATAATAAAATATATTTTTCCTGAAACAATAATTGATAAATGTAACTGCTATAATTTATTTAATTATGTCCTAATAGGTGCTCTTAATTAATGTCCAATAATTTTATATGTTCCTTTAAAAATTATAGGTCTGTTCCAACAAGAGTCAGGGATTGGTTCCCAACCGTTCGAAATGTTTGGCCAGCTAAATTCTAAACGTGTCTTCAGTGAATATATCGCAAGAATTAGTTGGATGCACATTTCTGATGGTTTGGAACCAATCCCTGACTCTTGTTGGAACAGACCTTATGTCATACAATGATTTATTATCTAAGGCATAGATAAATTTCTGAACGTACTATACATTTAATGAATTGAGCAGCGACATCTATTAGTGCTTATCGTTATAAATCCATAAATAATATTCAGCTGAATACGGAAGATGGCGCTTGTAGTATTAACATTTAACTTAATTTATATAAATGCCCTAACTTAAACAATTATAGTCAAAGATGCAATTTATGTGAGGAAAATAAACTTACACCCTGGATCTGTACATTTCTGAATGAAAGATTCAACAAAATCCGCGACTTCGGGAGTATCGAAACAACACTTCACAATAGACATTTTTAAACCATTTATAATTATCCCTATCCATATAAAAATATACGTATAAAATTTTCTTGTTCAACAATCGAAGCTAGTAGAAGTAGACACCGCTGTTCACGAGGTTTAACAACTACTAGTTGCTATGGAGCAGATCTTTCAAGAATAAGAACAAGAATAGAGTTTCTCTTCATGGATAATTAACTGTACTCCTTACAATGACTAGCACGTACACTGGAAACCAACTATCCTCTCTAATTGCATTTCTCGAGATTTCCTTAATTAAATTAATGGTTATTGATAATTCTGCATTAAGAGAAACGTATTCATGTGTGTGTTTTTAGTATACTGATTGTCTCCGGACCACGTGAGTTCAATGTCAAACATTCAATCACATTTTTTATAAATCCGCCTTGTTCACAGGAGCAAATGGGACGTCAGGACGCCAAAGCGTCGCCACGCCGGCCACATTACACTACGACTAGATCCTGAATATAGGTTACTTTCAGAATATTCTCGTAGGTATCCTGACTTTGCGCATGCTCGTCCTTTGAATAAATTGTGAACTGAGGCTGCAAAATATGTGGAGTCTGGAGATCGTTGTCTGGTTCAAATACCAGTTATTTACTTAAATCAAACAACGATCTTCATATATTTGCAGCGTTATTAGATTGATAAAATGTCATGTAGGTACTGTGAAATAAAACGTTATTCAAATTCAGCAGGAAAACCACTTGTGAAAATGTTTACGAAAATGAACCAAAATGTTTGAATTGTACATATAAAGTACCTAGTGTTTTTCTTTTACTGAAAATAAACATCACATTTTAATGAACATTCCCTATCCCAAAAATTTATGGACATATGGTTATAGGAACTTTTCTTAATCTGTAACAAGTGGCATACCTGATTTAAACTTAGTGAAGAATGGGGTGCCAAAGGTTCTGTCTTAAGGCCCTTGCCCATAATTTATATGATTGGTCTTTTCTTCCGATAACTATATTCTTTATGATGACGATACATCTTTAATTTGTAGTAATAGAAATGTAGGTGTTTCTTTGAAATTTACAGTTAAAGAAATGGAAAACAAAGTCGATGTAAACAATAATCTTAAATTAAATTTAGATAAAACTGAACGTATAATTTTTTCCACCGGTTTTAATATTACAAATGGTTCTGCAGTTGATTTTTTGGGTTGATGATCGCATGGGCGTAACTAGGATTTTTGCTGGGGGTGGGTCTAGGGCTACAAGCTCTATGGAGGCCTCTAAAGGAACTTGAAGACTTTTTCATTTGATTAAAAAAAGGTCACGTAATCAGCGACCTACCGAAATAAAATTTCAAAACACTTTTTGAGACTTGCAATATGGAGCAACAATCAGGGGGGTCGTGACCCCCTGCCCCCGGGCTACGTCCATGGGTGATTGCTTATGCTGGTCATGTCCCTTTGACCCTTTGAGAAAAAAACTATTATTTTATTAATATATTATCCGAATGTTAAAGTCTTGTTTTAATTAGAATACTCTTTTAAAATAATATTAATAATATTAATAATTAATAATAATAATAATAATAATTAATAATAATAATAATAATTAATTTCGGAGAATAAATAATTGTTTAAGTGAAAACTCCAAAATATGGGTTAAAACTTCCTAAATTTTGTCCAAATATACAATTTTCGTAATACTTTGGTCAGTTTTCACTCAAATAGTGGATTTTCACAACCAAAACCTCCCTTATACTTACTAGTGTATGGTAGGGCTTTAAATTCATCAACTCATCCCTCCTACTTAACATAGAGGGAGGAGTTAAATTGTCACACATAGTAAATATTTTCTGGTGGGGATTTTTCTGACCAGAGATTAATAGGATTTAAAAATAATGATAAATTCAACAACAATTATTTTATTTAGGTGAGTATGTGTACAACCAGTTATAAAGATCCCTACAGTTCCTTAAGCTACACATATATTTATTGATACTATGGTAAAAACAATATGGACTGTTTTCACTAAATACAGGAAGTGTACTGGAGGAAACATTACGTGNAATGTGTTTTTTGAATCTATTTATGCTTGTTAAAGTCTTAAGATGCAAAGGTAATTTATTAAAAAACTTTATACATACATAAAAGGTATTTTTTTCTGTCAACGACAAGTTATGTTTTGGATATGTAATATTTATAGTTCTTGTATCATACCTATGATTGGAATTATTAATTGTAAAACTAGTTTTATTCTTAAATGTATACAAAAGACATTCATAAATATATAGTCCATATATTGTCAAAATATTATTTTGTTTGAACTTATTCCTACATGATTCATTATATGCTATTTTATATATGGTTCTGATAACTCTTTTTTGTAACACAAAAATTTTTTCAATACTTGAGTTACCCCCCCAAAATATTATTCCATACTTGCAACACGATTCAAAATTTGAGAAATATAATCTTAAACTTTTAATATTCAAATATCTATTTGTTATTCTAAATCCATAACAAATTTTATTAAGTTTTACACATAAATACTCTAATTGATTTCCCCATGTTAGATGTTCATCTATTAAAATCCCAAGAAACTTAGTATAATCAACAAAAGCCATTGAATCATCCGCAATATCTATATTTTGAGGTGTGTCAATTTTAGCTTGTTTTGTTCTGAAAAGTATTATTTTAGTTTTATCTTTATTTAAAATAAATCTGTTTTTTCATACCACTCTCTTCTGGCTGAAAATAAATTATTTCCCTCCTCTATTAATTCAAGATAAGTATCTGCCCCCACAAGTATGTTATTATATTACTTACTTATTACTCTTTATTTCACTGCCATCTGTGCTATGGCTAAACAAACTCCTCACTGAATTATACATACTTTCAAGAATTTATTGTTATTTAGCTGGGCAGTAAACTCATTTGCTGGATAATCTCGCATCAATGTAGGTAGAGGCCATATCTTTAGATTTATCTTATATTTTGTAAATCAAATCTGCTGTGAAAAGTTGTTACGAAAATAAATAAAACAAGACCCAAATATTCCAAATATTTAATCATTCTTTGCATCCAGATTAAACAGTTATTTCTATTGAAAAACTTGTCAAAATCACACTTATTGAAACATAACTAGAGAAACAGTATACTAAATGTTTTGGTTATTTGTCTTTAACAAACGTGTAGGTTTATTTCTTTAGTTGTAAAATTAAACTGGTTATTTGTTTATTCTTTATGAAGCTAGAGAATACTTCAATTTATTTTCGTACAACTTGTTAGGGAATAAATAAAAACTTCTTAAAATT